TGACTCACCTGGGTCTCCACACTATGGAATGCACTATTTCTGATTTCAAAGAGGAAGGTTGACTGACTTACGTCTGATGACAATGTGTTTTATTATAATCAATTAAGAGAAAAAAAATACACTAAGACACTGTGTCTTGGGGCTAACATTGTGGCGTAGTGGCAAAACCACCATCTACAGTGTTAGCATCCCATAAGGGCATGTGTTCAAGCACTGGATGCTCCATATCTGATCCAGTTCTCCGCTATTGTGGAAAAAGCAGCCCAAGATGGCCCAAGTGTTTGCTCCCTCACCACCAATGTGAGAAACCAAGGAGATGCTCCTGGCTCTTCACTTCAGCCTGGCACAATCCTGGCTGTTGTAGGCTTCCAGGGAGTGAGCCATTGAATGGAAGATGTCAGCATTGTGGTACAATGGGTTCAACCACTGTCAGACACCCAGATAGTTCAAGTCCTGAATGCTCTATTTCCTTAGTAATGCTCCTGGGAAGGCAGTGGAAGATGGCCCACATTCTTGGGCTCTTGCCAGTAACATGAAAGTACAGGGTGGAGGAGATCCAGGCTCCTGGCTTCATCCTGGTTCATCCCTAACAAACATTGCCATTTGGCAAGTTAAATAGCAGATGGAAGAGCCCTTTCTCTCCCTCTCTGTCTCTCCACTCTTGAAAGAAATAAAAAGAAATCTTTAAAGCAAAGGAAAAGTAAAGGACTAAGGATTTTGAAATGAGAACTACAAGATTAACAGTAAACATTCAAGTAAAGAAGGAAGTGTTAGAATCCATGTAAGTCAAAAGCAGAAGTACTGCATTGTGTCAGAGTACATTTGCTGCATGATGTCTGGTCCACTGCAGAGACCTGACCTGGATTCCACCAAGAGGAACTTGTCTACTCTCATTAGACTTGAGTCACACCTGTTTTGAACAGTTACATCATTTGCCTTCCCTTCATCAACAGTGCTCCAAACCCCTTCCCTCCCACCATGAGAGTTAAGCCCAAGCATGGTTTAGGTTATCAGGAAAGGGGATGTTAAGATTTTGGAATTAGATTGAGATTGCTACAACACTGTATAACTTTGAAAAGGTGACTTTTGGGCTGATGTTGTGGCATTGGTTTGAGTCCTACCTCCTCCGCTTTTTTTTTTTTTAATTTTATTGGAAAGGCAGATATACAGAGAGGAAGATCTTCCGTCCGATGATTCACTCCCCAAGTGAGTGCAACGGGTCGATGCTATGCCGATCCGAAGCCAGGAGCCTCTTCTGGGTCTCCCACGCGGGTGCAGGGTCCCAAAGCCGTCCTCAACTACTTTCCTGGGCCACAGGCGGGGAGCTGGATGGGAAGAGGGGCCGCCGGGATTAGAACCGGCGCCCATATGGGATCCTGGGCGTGCAAGGCAAGGACCTTAACCACTTGTGCCACCACGCCGGGGCCCCTCCTCCACTTCTGATCCAGCTCCTTGCTTATGTGCCTGGGAATGCAGTGGGAGATGGGCCAAATACTTGGACCCCTCAACCACTTGGGAGACCAAGATGAATCTCCTAGCTCCTGGCTTTGGCCTGGCCCAGCCCTGGCTATTGTGACCATCTGTATCCTGGGTGAACCAGCAAAAGAAAAATTCCCTTTCTCTGTAACTTTGCCTTTCAAATACATAAAAACTTTCTTTATTTTTTTTTTTAAAGAAAGGATGACCTTTGCCTATTTTGTTTTCCGGTCCGATTAGCTGTCTTATTGAATTGTGGAAATACATATTTCATATATACACAAGACCTTTGTAGATTATGTATACTTATATACATATCTCATATATATAAGACCTTTGTTGGTTATACATATTTTGAGTTCCTTTTACTTGCTGGCTTGACTTTTAATCTCTGAATGATGTCTTTTGATGCAAAAATTACAGGGCAATTCTTTTTTATTCACCTAGAATCATTTTTAAATTATTATTATCATTTCATTTTATGACAGTTTCATAGGCTCTGGGATTCCCTAAGTCCTCCCCAAACCCTCCCCCCACATTGAATTCCTCTTTATTGTTACAGTAGTACAGTGCATACCCAGTCATGATTCCTTCAATGTGGGCATGGACCATGCGGAGAGTCCAGCATCTTATTGTCCAGATAAATTCAACAGCTTCATTGGGAGACTACCCTTGGTCTGAATATAGAAAGGCAGAATATCATCCCTTCCAATGAAAAGCCACCACACAACTTCAACAACAGAAAGAAACATGGAAATTTACAACATCATGAAGTTAATTGACATCGTATTGAGTGACTAATGTGTTAGAAATACAAGTTTTTAACCACATCCTGTAACTACTTCACTGACATCTCAATTTTAGTTTATACACAACCGGCTGCTATAAACCTTAAAATCAGTATAGGATACTATTGAGTCTCGTGTCTCGTGTGTATTTTCATTTTTATATTTAGCAGCTTACACTATTGAAGTGTGATTTTTACTGAACTTTGTGAATTTTAGGATAGTCCAAACAGGCTTATAACTAACACGCCATATATTAACGACTGAGGAGCAGAAGAGTTTTAGAAGGGGTGTGCCTCTTAGAAATTAATACCTTAGGAGTAACTGATCTTTGTGTCCTACTTAGTAAGGCATATGAAAGTCCAAGCTGACTTTTTTTTCTGTCTGTTCTAAGCTTTCCTTATTGGTCTCTATGTATCTGATCTAATTTTTTTCGGCGGGGGGTGGAAGGGGCTCTGGAGCGACCATGATGGTCATTGCAAGAGAGGTTGGGAGCCTAAGTTGGAACTAAGTAAGGACCAGAGAAAGCTCCTCTCCCGAATCCCAAGGAAGTTTACTGTTCTTCTGTTTCTGAGGACCACCTGGGGCTCCTGGCTGTTGTTCCAAGGACATTAGATCCTGTGAGGAAGGATCTGGGTTTTTTCCATCCCGCGTGGGAGATCTGGTAGGGAATGGTTGACCTCAGAGTTTACAGGGCAATTCTTAAAATTGTTGCCAGCAAAAATTTGGTAAAAATTTCCAAATCATTTTTTAAAATGCTCTTTCCATTATCTGGGTCTTTCAGTTACTTTTTATTTTTAACATCAATTTTTTAAAAAAGATTTATTTATTGTTATTACAAAGTCAGATATACAGAGAGGAGGAGAGACAGAGAAGATCTTCCGTCCAATGATTCACTCCCCAAGTGAGCGCAACGGCCGGTGCTATGCCGAGCTGAATCCAGGATCCAGGAACCTCTTCCGGGTCTCCTACATGGGTGCAGGGTCCCAAAGCTTTGGGCCATCCTCAACTGCTTTCCCAGGCCACAAGCAGGGAACTGGATGGGAAGTGGAGCTGCCGGGATTAGAACTGGCACCCATATGGGATCTGGGTGTGTTCAAGGCGAGGACCTTTAGGCGCTAGGTCACACCGCCTGGCCCTGCATCAATTTATTTTTATTGGAAAGGCAGATTTCCCAAACAGGAGAGACAGAGAGAATGATCTTTTATCAATTGGTTCACTTCCCAAATGGCCGCAATGGCTAGAGCCAAAACCATCTGATGCCAGGAGCTGAGAGGTTTTTCCAGGTCTTCCTCACAGGTGCAGAGTCTCAAGGCTTTAAGCCATCCTCTGCTGCTTTTCCAGGTCATAAGCAGAGTTGGATGGAAAGTGGAGTAGCAGGGACATGAACCAGTGTGAACATGTGATGCCAGAACTTGTAGGCAAAGGATTAACCTGTTGAGCCACCATGTGGGCCCCAAACACAGGTTTGTTTGTTTGTTTTTTGCTAATTTACAAAAATGTTCCTTTGGAATGGGGCTTGGATGGGGTTCCCTGTTCCTCATCTCTGCCTGGCTCAGCCCTGGCTGTTGCAATAAATTTGGGAGTAAACCAGTGTATGGAAGATCTCTTTTTTCTCTTTGTGTAACTTGGTCTTTCAAATACCATGCCTTTGAAAAAATTAAAAATTTTCTTTTATTTTGAATCTGTAGGCTAGTTTTTATGTCAATTTTGGGGGGGTTAGGTAGCGTATTGCTGACAGACACTTATCACAGGAGAGGTCAGAAAGTTTAGGACATTTGTTTTATATCAAGTTAGTTGATAAAATTCTCATTTCAGACAGTTGTGTGGTACTGCAGCGAGTTAAGCTGCCACACGTGGTACCAGCAGCCTGTAGGAGCGTTGGTTCAAGTCCTGGCTGCTCTGCTTCCCATCCAGTTCTGTGCTAACGCCCCTGGGAAAGCAACGGAAGAGGACCCAGTGCTTGGGCCTCTTCGCTCCAGTGGAAGATCTGGAAGAAGCTCCCGGCTTTGGCCCGGCCCAGGCCCAGCTGATGTCACCATCTGGGGTGTGAGGCAGCAGACAAAAGAGATCTCTCTCTGCATTTCAAATAAATGAATAAAATCTTAGAAAAAATGGAAGTCAGAGTGTCATTTCTTGAAGTCAGCTGAAGATGAAAGGCAGGAGCTGCAGTAGGATGGATTCCCTTCAAATCACATTCCATTTTCTCAGTGAACCCAGAAGAGGTGATCATTTTGGGGGGCTTTGGGGGCCTTAAATCAGTCATGTGTCATGGCTGGTTTCTTCAATTGCTACCTTAAAGTGGGCACTTCCATATCGTCTTTCTGTGTCAGATGATCAAATTGCACAACATTTGAGTACATGTTCCTGGGCTGGATACCACAAGAGTTGGAGGTAATTAAACAGAATAAAACCTGCAACTTCATTTTATTAATTTAATGATTTTATTCATATACTTAAAAATCGATGGATTGAATTTTAGCAATAACATAGTTGGAAGGCAAGTGTCTTTACATACTCTGGACGTTAAGGAGACAGTATTTCAATAAATATTGAATTTCAATAAATATTGCGTTTGATTTTCTTGATTTGGGCTTAGAGGAAAATGCTAGACATGAATTCATTCTTCACATGGGTGGAAAATGGAACAACTGCCTCCAGAAAACGGAATTCGTACTAAGTCGGGAGAAGCAAGAATAGGGCAGTGTTGATATGCCTGGTATTTGTTTGCAAGGTTCTTCAGCAGCTAGCAGACGGAGATTGGGTAATGCGTTGAGACAAGACCTTACTGTGGTCACTGTGAGCTGAGGGGAAGGGGGACAGCGAGCCCGGGGCGGGCGGAGGGTCGGCGGGGAGCCCGCATCGGGGGTGGGCAGGGGACCGGCGGGGGGACAGGCGGGGAGCCCGGGGCCGGAGGAGGGCCGGGGGCCGGCGGGGAGCCCGCACCGGGGGTGGGCAGGGGGCCGGCGGGGGGACAGGCGGAGAGCCCGGGGCCGGAGGAGGGCCGGGGGCCGGCAGGGAGCCCGCACCGGGCGCCGGCGGGGAGCCGGTCGGGAGGGACCCGCACCTGCGCCCGGTCCCCGGCTCCGCCCCGCGGCCCGCCTCTCCCCGCCCTCTCCTGACGCCCGGGACGCCTGCGGCGGCGGAGACACCGGAAGGAGCCGCGGCTGCTGCGGGAAGTGGCCGGCTCGGGAGGCGGGGACCCCGCGGGCTGGGCTGCGGAGCCGTTTTCCGGGCCTCCAGACGCGACGCCGCACCGCGCCGAGGTCGGGCAGGAAAAGGAGGCTGCGGAGCGGCGGCGGTAGGCCGCTGTCGGCTGCGCCGGCTGGGCCCACAGGAAAGGCCGTGGAGGTGAGCGCGGCGCTGCGGGGTTGGGAGGGAGCGGCGCGGGGCCGAAGGGCGCCTTGCTCGGCGCCGGGCACCGGCTCTGCTCTGGCTCCGCGCACCGGCTCCGTGGCCCTTGCAGCGGCCTCTTTTCTCGGTGTTGCGCGCGGACGGGAATAAGGCCTGGGCCACTGGGTGCTCTGTTAGGGCGGCATGCCTGGGGTCAGCGGAGGACGTGAGCTGGCGGTGTGTTTGAGGAAGGGTCCCTCCCGGGGCGAGAGGGCTGAGGGATCTGGGCTGGAGCGCTGTTGCTTCCCTCGGCTTCCCGACGCCGGGCTGCGGACGAATGAAAGCCCGCAGCGCGCCGGGTGCAGGCTTCTGGTTTCGCTTCGCGGCGCAGTAGGGGCGGTCGGAGCGGTCCGTGCGGCCCCTGCAGCCCGTTATTAATTGTTATGGTCGGGAAAACGAGGTGTCGTGATCCCTGGAATTTTTCTTGTACCGACGTTTTGTTTGGATCCAGTCCAGTCTTAATGTCTGTCCGTTTGCAGCTTTCGTTTGGATAAAATGTTCGTAGTATGTGGTTTTGTAATACTTTACGTGTAAATATTTCTCGACTACAAAACGCCTTTAGAATATTTACAGTGTGCCAACTGGGTTTTTGGGTGATGAGATTTTCTAAGTGTTCAGTGCATAAGTAATTTTCGGGTTTATATTCTCAGAATTATTAGGTCTTAAAAAATTGAGCTAGAGGCTAGAATCCGGGCAAAAGCATAGAATCAGTTGAGGATGCATTTTGCTATATGGGTCTTTGGACTTAATGCATGTATGAAATTACAGACTTTTTAATTTTCATTATTATTTTTTAAAGATTTATTTAATTTTATTGGAAAGGCAGATATACAGAGATGAGAGACAGAGAGGAAGAACTTCCGTCCGATGGTTCATTCCCCAAGCGGCCGCAACGGCTGGAGCTGAGCCAATCCAAAGCCAGGAGCCTCTTTCCGGTTTCCCACATGGGTGCAGGGTCCCAAGGCTTTGCGCTGTCCTCCACTGCGACTGCTTCCAGAGCACAGGCAGGAAGCTGGATGGGAAGCAGGGCCACCGGGTTTAGAACTGGCGCCCATATGGGATCCTGGGCGTGTTCAAGGCGAGGACTTTAGCCGCTAAGTTACAGGGCTGGACCCTATCATTTTTTTTCTTTAAGGGAAGCCTGTTAACAGGAAGTAATGAGACTGTCATAGTTACATTCTGGTTAAGACCGAATAATTTTATCACCTGGAAAAGGCTTACCCAATCAGATTATCATAATGGGTATTTGATTTGAATCTAATACAAATATTGTTATTTCATACTGTTAATGTAAGTGAGGGATATAATGGGAATGTTATTAAGAGAAAAAGCTATGTTTAATAATATTGTTACGCCGTGCTAGGTACTTTATACTTTTTATTTACAGGGTTAAGGAAAATGGAAAGTGCAAAACGGCATTTTCTAGGATAAAACATCTGACCTATAAATATGAGGGATAGCCTACTTAGGATTTCGTCTTAGATTTTATCTGATTTATTGCCGCTTTCACTTTATTCCTTTGAGCTCTTTACAACCTTCCAATAAGCAAATCTTTTTACATAACTTTAGTTTCATGATGTTAGATTGTAACAAAGAGATAGTTTTAGATATCTTGAAACTCGCGGTTAAAGAGACAGCTCTAAAAAAACTTAGACCAGTTTATTGGTTGATAGAGACATAAAGTGAGAGCTCCCGTTTGCTGCTGCCATCCCTACATGCCCAGAATGGCTGGGGCTGAAGGTGGGAACTGGACCTCAGCCCAGGTCTCTGAGGTGAATAACAGGAACCCAGGGACTTGAACTGTTTTACCCTCACCCCCCCTCCCCCCAGCCTGCCTTAGGAAGGAACTGGAGGTGGGCCTTGAACACAGATGCTGCTATGGGGTGCAAGTGGGTCAGCTGCTCGGCTGCACACTTGCTCCATAGATGCTAATTCTTGGTGTATTGCAGGTAGTATTTTCAGACTGTAAACAGTCTGATCCTCCTGCTATTCCGGTGGGTTGGGAGTATCAAGATAAGGCTTCGTGACAGAAGCTTGACCTTGAAGCTTAAAAAGATCAGAATTTCCTTAAAGTAGAAATTGGAATTCAGATACGTTAAGATTGAGGGCACTATGAACCATAACATGTGACAGACTGCACTGTGAACTTAGAAAATGAGGTAGATTGCTGAAAGATTTTTGGTGAGATGTGAAAATTCATTTCTAAAAAAGAGAATGGTTCTATTTAAGATAGTTTTTAAACTTTTTGGAAGGCTTCATGTGATTGTATGGATGTTGTGAGATATTACAATCAAAATATGTATCAAAATTGACAGAGCCTCTGATGAGTTGGTTTAGCTATATATGGCAGATGAATTAGAAAGCTAGTATTTAAAATATTTGGATTTTATTTGAAAGGCTATCTGTTGGTTTACTCCCAAAATATGCGCAGTTGCTAGGGCAAGGCCAGGCTGCAGCTTGAAGCCTACAGCTCAGTCTGAGTCTCCTAGATGGATGGCAGGGACTCAAGTGCTTGACCCATCATAGGTTAGTGGAAAGCTGGCTTGGAAACGGAGTATCTAGAATCCAAACCCGGTGCTTAAAGTTGCATTGTGAGTATCCCAAGTAGCAACTTAAACATTGTACCAAATGCCTGCCCCTAAAACTCTTATTTAAGCAACAATGCATGCATCAAAATGTTCCTTTCAAATATTACTCTGGAAGGCTAAGTTGATCAGTATTTTGACTGTTACCATGGTAAGCCCTTTGGAAAATCAGAAAACTTTGTCTTCAGAGATCTTGTTAAGTCATGCAAAGGGCAAAGGTGAAGAAGACATTACATGTAGTGATTGGGGCTTGGTGGAGATAGTATTTTAAATGATTGAGCTCTGACAGGTTTATAATAGGAATATTCGTGGGCATTTCTCTCATATTCTCTTCTTGAAAAAAGTTATAACCTTTTACATCATTACTTTTGTTTATTAGAACTTAGAACTTTGACAGTTTGTGCTGAAACTTAGATTTTTTTTTTGCCATAAAGGAAATATGAGTAATTCCTTTGGCTTATTCTTTCAAATCGGATATTGTTTTAAGTATGAACTATTGGATTCCTTGAAAGCTGCAAGTTAAATGAGAAAAGATCAGAACAGTTCGTTAACAATTTAGAGTTTATATAGGTAATAGGTGAAAAAAATTTTGAAGGATATCATGTGAAGGTATTTCTTCACAAGTATGTCATCCACAGAAGTGCAAAATGAGCTAATGTGGGGAGATTGAGGCCATAAGACTGGATGCTTTTGATGAAGTAAGATCTTGTCAGCATCACTTTAGTGGCTTTTGTGGTTTTTCTGAAGTGTTTCTGGAACTCAGATCTTTAGAAGACATGGGTGCAAGTGAGATGCCAGAAATCCGTGGTGATGGAATGTGCAGAGGCAGAAGGGAAAAAACGGGTGGGCACCTGGGGTCTTAGCCCGTGGGAAGTTTTTACAGCTGTCTCCGAGTTGTCCAAACAAGTGAAGAGTGGCTTAGGTCTCAGTGATGGAGGTTGCCCTGGAAATGCTGTCCACGTTTCCAGCTGTGCTGGTTAAGGCTATGCTAGTTCCTTAAGTGATAAAGAACTTAGGAGAAAACCAGAGAAGTAGTTGAGGTGGGAAGTTCTCCATGCCAGCTATAAATGAAAATTGAGGTAAGCTGAAAAATTGTGCAACTGTGTCTGTTTAAAAGCATTATGTTTGAGTAATCTAATTGTGAAGTGGCAGCCTGGAAGCCTCAAGCTAGAAGAAATCTGAGTTGAGAGAAAGGGAAAAAATAATACAAATAAAAAGTAATAGAGTTTGCTGACATACAGAAGGTAAGGAGGGAATATGAGTGATAGTGAGATTTGAAGTTTACCTGTGATGTATGGGCACTAACTTAAGTGCATTTCTTCAGGAGAATAAAGAATTGGGAGTGGGTGTTTGACTTAGCAGTTAGGAGTTCTGAGTCCCATATCAAAGTGTTGGGTTTCACACCTGTGTCTTTTGGCTTCCCCCTCCCCGCTCCTGCTTCCAGGGCTTATAGACCTTGACAGGCACCAGTGGCTTAGAGTTCTTGGCTTCTGGTTGGGACCTGCCCGGTGCTGTCTATTGAGGTTTTTTGGGGACTAAAGGCATGTGCATGTTTGTGTTTGCACTGTCTGTTTTTCTTACAAATAATAAATTGCAAGGTGTTGAAAGTGGCAATGGAACGTGTATGGACATTCCAAAAAAAAAAAAGTAGAGATTTGAATAGTGCTGCCACTTATACTTTTTTTTTGAATGATTAGAAGCAAGAGCAGCTGTCTCATTCACTTCTAAATTCCCACAACACCTGGGACTAAGCAGAAGCACCTGAGCCTGGCAGAAGCTAGGAGCTGGAAACTCAATCTGGTTCTCCACAGGAGTGACAGGAACCCAGCTACTTGAGCCATCACACGCTGCCTCTCAGGGTCTGCATTGGCAGAAAGCTGGAATTACGTCTAGCTTGGGACTTGAACCTAGGTACTCACATGTGGGATGTAGGCATCCTAAGCAACACCTTAAATGTTTGGCAAATGGTCCAGCGTGATGACTCAATTGGATAATCATCCCTCCTTGTAAGTTCTGGAATCACATATGGGGGGCTGCTTCATGTCACAGCTGCCTGCTCCACTTCCCATCTAGCTCCCTGCTTTGGGCCTGGGAAAGCAGTCAGGGATGTCCTTGGGACCCTGCAACTGCAAAGGGAAACTAGGAAGAAGCTTCTGGCTCTTGGCCTTGCTTCGGCTCAGCTCCAGCTGTTGCGGCCACTTGGAGAGTGAACCAGCGGGCAAAAGATCTTTCTGCTCTCCTCTCTGTGAATGTGCCTTTCTAACAAAAATAAATAAGTCTTAAAAAAAGACCAAAATGTGCACACCCCTCCCCCCAACTTTTACAATGCCCATATTTGAGTGTAAACTTTTGTTAAATTAGTCTGTGTTTTTAGGGTTTAGCCCAGTGCTGAGGTACAAGTAATAAAGTGGAAATGTAGAGGTGAATCTAACATTGAGACCATTACCTGTCATTTTTAACTATTTATAAAATTCTAAAGGGCTAATAAGTGCAGACATTATATAGATGAATAGATTTTTTATTAGTTTTATAGGCATCAGTATTACAGTCCAGTAAACAAGCAGAAAAGTCATTAATTTACTTCAAAGTGATTATCAGTGGAGGTTGCATTTCATTTTTCATGTTTCAGCTTTGGTCTGTAACATGTAAGTATTTTAATGGCTGTCCTGTAATGCCAGAGTACTGTTATTTAATTAAACCTCCATCTTACTCAGAAGAGAAGTAACGTAGTAAAAATTACTGTCAACTTGTTTGAGTCTCTTTCAAGACTCTCAATATGTTCACCTTTCCTGTTTTCTTTCTCACAATTATTTCATCAGGCTAGAGTTAATCACACTTTTATTAAACAGGTTTATTGGAAGAAAATGTCAAGCAGTATTTACACATACCAATTGAAGGATTTTATTTAGAGCAACATTTCCATATTGGAGCTTTGTTTTAGGATAATTAGCTGTGGCAGTGTGGATGGATTGTAGGGAGATAAATCAGGACACTACAAAGTCTTCTGAGGCCTCAGGATGTCATGAATTAGACTGCTAAGAGTCAGTGAAGCAGAAGTTTCTGGAAAGGGGGATAAAAAGATTAGTACTAAAGTTCTTACTCTGTTATGATCTGAATGAAAATTATAAGGACTGTTTGTGAGATCATAGATAGATTTACATAGATTTGAAAGGGTTGTTCATCAGAATGCTTGTTTAAAGGAAAAACAATACAGTTCTTTGAAATGCCTGGCAGCAGGATTCGTAAGTTCAGAGTCTCTACAAACATTCACTATGAATTGATTTACAATGAAGTAAACTTCTGTTTGTTATTTACATTTAGTCCAGTTTTTTTGGCTTGCCTTTGCTGGGTAGCCAAACCAGTAGCCAGGATGTGATCTTCCAGGTCACATGCAGGTGCCGGATCCCATGGTAGTGGAGCTATTGGGACATAAACCGGCACCCAGATGGGAAGCTGGTGCTTGCTGGTGGAGGACTAACCAATGGAGCTATCACATTGGCCCCATCATCCCACTTTCTTTAAAGTTTATCTGTATCTGAATGAAACTCTTCACCGTTGGTTGAATTTACTGTTCTTTCGTAAGTTGCACAGAAATCTTCCTATTCAAATAGCTGGAACTTACGCATCATGTCCTGCAACTTTTGTCTTCTATGTTTGACATGAGCTTTCAGTTGTTACTCATAACAGTTAAAATTGGTTGGGTACTTGCTCATCGCTCTCAACACCTTTTATTTCTTTAAAACATTAAAAATTTTTTTTTCTTATTGGAAAGTCACATATCAGAGAGAAGGAGAGAGAAGGAGCAACAGAGTGGAAGATGTTCTGTTCTCTGATTCACTCCCCAAGTAGCCACAATGGCTGGAGCTGAGCCAATCTGAAGCCAGGAGCCAGGAGCTTCTTCTGGATCTCCATGCAGGTGCATGGTCCAAGGCTTTGGGATATCCCTGACTGCTTTCCCAGGCCGAAAGCAGGGATATGGAAGGAAAGTGGGGATGCTGGGATTGGAACCGGCATCCACATGGGATCCTGGCGCATGCAAAGCAAGCAGTTTAGCTGCTAGGCCACCACACCAGGTCCGCAAACCATCTTTTCAAACTTTATCTTACTACTCTTAACTTTTTTATTTCTTTTTCTGTTTCTTTTTTTTCCCCTTCCTTTTAGCTTAAATTTTTTTTTTGATCAGCTCAAATCCAGCCATTGTGGACATTTGGTGAGTGGATCAGAGTCCAGCTCCCTCTTTCTGTCTTCTGTCTATAAATCTGCCTTTCAAATGGAAAAAAAAAAAAAGCGGTTTGCAACTGACACAGTTGCAGCAAGCTTATCAGCCACCTGCAAGCACAAACATTTCATATAGCTGCCAGTTTGTGTCCCAGCCTAAAAATTCTCTCCAGACTGTTAGTAGATGCAAAGGACTCATCTTTTTCTTGTGTGTGCGATTTTATTTATTTGAAAGGCAGAGTTATAGAGAGAAGGAGGGACAGATCCTCCATGCCTTGGCTCATCCCTCGATGGCTGCAGTAGCTAGAGCTGGGCCAGGTGGGAGCCAGGAGATTTTCTGGGTTTCTCACATGGGTTCAGGGTCTTAAGCTCTTGGACCATCTTCCTCTGCTTTCTCAGGTGCATTATCAGGGAACTGGATCAGAAGTGGAATGGATTGAGTCTCCTACCAGCACCCGTTTGGTACACCTGCGTTGTAGGTGCTCCATTAACCCTGGTTCCGCTTGTTTTCATCTTACGTCCTGTATAGTTGATGCACAGGACTGATATACAGTGTCTAAAAACTATTGTTTTTTCCTTTTTTTGTTAATTATGTTTAGGTTGCAAAGATAGTGGAAAAGGCTAGGGGAATCACTTTTTAAATATGTGATTGTTCAGGGCAGTGTAGTGGGTTAAGCCATTGCCCACAGCACCAGCATCTCTGGGTGTTGGTTCCTGTCCCAGCTGCTGCATTTGCAGTCAGCTCTTTCATGTTGGGCTGGGAAAAGCACCAAAGATAGTTTTAAGAATATAAGTAAAGCAACATGAGAAATCTTGAGTAAGATTTGAGACCCTTGTTTGGATATCACTTGATTTACTGAAAAACAATATGGGTTCGATCAAGTTTGCATCTTATTTTTATGTCATAGGAATATAATGTTGCATATTTCAGTATTGTTATAAAGATGGAGATAGTTTTTTTGTCTTTGGAGATTTAAAAAAATTATTTATTTGAAAGAGTTATAGAGAGAAAAGGAGAGATTTTATTTGTAGGTTCATTCCTGTGTGGCTGCATGGGCAGGTTTGAACCAGGCTGAAACTAGGTGCTAAGAGCTTCATGTGGGTCTCCTGTGGGTGGCAGGGAACCAAACACTTTGGCCGTCTTCTGCTTTTTCTAGGCCATTATCAGGGAGCTGGAAGTGAAGCAGCTGTTACAGCAGAACCATTCCTCATGTGATTCTGGTATTGGAGCAGTGGCTGAAGCCGCTCTACCACAATACTGGCTCCCACTTAGGCAGGTTCTGTCCCCCAGTGGATCTAATCTGATACTCTGATATTTAGACTCGTTGGCTGTCAAAGCGTAAAGTGATGGTGTTTTGGCTGTAGTGAGTCGAAGCAGGAACATTGCTGAACACCCTGCTGTGCACAGGGCAATGCCCAACAAAGAGTTACTAACCCTAAGTGCCAGTAGTTCTAGGTGGAGAAACTGTAGTATGAAGTGTCTAGCTGTAATATTGCCAAGATGCCAGATGATTTCATTCATATCAAGGAGAGAAGCTGTTAGAGGGTAAGTGGAGCTTTCCATTTGACGTTTCTCTTCAGTTTGCTCTTCATCCTGAAGATTAACCATTTTTAAAATATAAGATTAATATTGTTTCAAAATCAAGTAATTTGAATTTTCCTTCTTGTTGAAAGTTGGAGCTGGAGAAACAGCAACAGACGTCATGGAGAACCAAACTTTTCCTAAGTTTCTAAAAATGTTCATTTAGTAAGAAAATTTCTGAAGTTCAAATTAACTCATTTTGAAACTCACCTGGATATGTTTGAAGATATATTCTTTTGCAGGGCAGACTTACAAATGTCTGTCTAATGGTATCTTTCATTATGATTTTTAAGTGAATATATTTGGATTACTTGTTTTATAGGTATTACCTCATTTGGAAAGCCTTGGGAATCAGGATAAGCCTCACAACAAAATGTCAGCTTTACGAAGTCATTGTCCACATTTGGATTCAGTTGGTGAAATAACAAAAGAAGATTTGATACAAAAGTCTCATGTAAGATACAGGTTTTTCTTCCTTAAAAGGTCATATTCACTTTGCTCCCAAGTGTGTATTTTTAAGTAAATTACTGTAGTACTCTGTTCATGAATGTAATTTTAAAAATAGTATGTTTAGTGATTGTGTACATATTTGTATACATTCCACTATATGTAACAGTGTGTATTTTTGTCTTATAGGGTACTTGTCAGGACTGTAAAGTCAGAGGACCAAATCTTTGGGCATGCCTGGAGGTATATTATTTTTCCTGAAAAGTTGAATATTGAAAATTTATATTTGAATTATGAAAGTAAAAAAATTTTGATATCTAAGGGGGATTTGCAAATAAACACACTTTGAAAATATCATTATTGGTTAAAACATTATACATCAAACTTTGGAAGGATTTTAACATAAGAGTTTTAACTTTTGCATACTTTCTAGTAGTTCTTTGAGGTATTTTATGCTTTATTAGGAGTCATGTAGCTTTAAACTTTTGGTTAAATCAGTTGACTGTTGGGAGTCTTGTAGTCATGGAGTTAGCACATGTAATCACAATTCAATTACAGATATAATTGTGAAGCTGTTATAAATTTGCATGTTGTAAAATGCCTTACTTTCTTTGTGTACTTATAGAATCGGTGTTCATATGTTGGCTGTGGTGAGTCACAAGTCGATCACAGCACCATACATTCTCAGGTGAGTATATATAAATTTTGAGATGTTGTAGAATGGAAGATGGATTTTAAAGGGAGGCTGAAGGAAAAAGGCAGCCAATATAACTTTATTAATTCAAGTTGTAATTTTTGTGCTTTTTTTTTTAATGAGTTAAAACCTTGTTTAAATCTGTTTAAGGTGGGGAAGGGAACTACTAAAATCACTGCTAGAATGAGGTTGTAATTAGGACAATACTTATTCAAGAAAAACCAATATATGGAGGTGACAGCTGTAATATTTGGGGTTTAAGCAGTTGAAGTCAGAAGCAGAGGTTCAGATTGATGAGCTCAGCCTGGTTAACTTTCCTATACCTCAGCTCAGGGTGCCCTTTCCTGCTCATGAGTCCCCCTGCTGCTTCACTTGGAGTGTTCCTTGTTTCCCATGTAACTCTGGCATGCATGGTTTGCAGTGATACTAGTCAAATGACATCTCTATAGCAACAGCCTTCTCATCCACGGTTCTGCAAGAGAATTATTTAAACCCAAATAGTTAAAGGCCAGAGGCATCTTATTGTCCAGAGTTTATTTCTCTTTTATGCATCTCACTGGTATTTGCTATGTACTGTATTTGGAAAATTGAGAAATTAGTCACTCAAATAGTTTGCTGTTGAAGAAGTTCTGGTCTTTCAATAGGACTTTTTTTTTTTTTAAGAACTCTGGTTGAGAATGGCTGGACATTGTTCTGTTCAAGATTGTACATCGCTATTGCTTTTAGATGTTCTGTTCTTTGACTTAATTTGATTTGTGTTGTTTTTGTTAATCTGACTCGTTGCAATTATCTTTCATTTTTTTGTGTTATTTACTAGCTGATGCTTATCTTTCTTTAGTGAATAGTTGGGGCAAAAGACAATAAGTTCAGCAGTGGTCTCAGTTATTGTTACTGTTCACTAGAGCAGTTTAAGCAATGATTATTGGTGTCTGGATTTATTGATTCTTTTGAGTACATTGTTATTCATTAAAGTAGCAGTTCATTTTCTTTGAGCTTTTGAGGTAGTTTTTCTGAATAACCTAATTCTGGTTCTTTTACTCCCTCTCCTGTGGAATTGTGCAGGAGACAAAGCATTACCTAACTGTGAACCTTACCACTCTTCGAGTATGGTGTTACGCTTGCAGCAAAGAAGTATTTTTGGATAGGAAATTAGGAACTCAGCCTTCATTGCCTCATGTGAGACAGCCTCACCAAACACAAGAAAACAATGTCCAGGTAATGGTCCTCTCCCATTTAGTTAAAGATGACATCAAGGTAATAATTCAGAGTTTGTCTTGTAGTGAAAATTTAAAAAGGAGACTTGCCTAGACTGTGCTGTAAAATAATTGTGAAACAAGGCCCTTTTTTCCTCTGTTGAAGCACTTGGGTACTCCTTTATTGTTATGTATAGATTGAAGCCCACCTGTCTACCTGAACACAACTTTCTCATACATTTTAAAAGCCTTTTTAAAAACAATGGTTTCAGTTAGTGTATGTCCCCTTTTTGCGAACTCTGATTCGTAGATAGAGTTGGTGGGCCTTCTGTGATAGGACGTGCAAGTACTAATTTAGTTCACTTTCCACATCCCCCGACCTCTCGACTCCTGTTTGTATTATTACGAAATTTATGCTGCTTGAAAACTACATGATGTATTAGAATTTAACATCAAGCTTTGGTTACTGATTTTTCTATTTTAATCCAGGGACTTAGAGAACCAAGTATATAGGTTTGTAAAATTTGGAAACCTTCAGAAAATTTAAGTTAAATAAAAATCAGAAAAGGAAAATGAAAAATTAAAATAATTCTAATTTAATTCTGTTCATCGTTTGGGCATGATTTAGTCATATTGGATTGTTTTCCTCATATATATTACAAAAATATTTTTGTATTTGTTCCTTGATACAGATTTCGTTTTTTCCCTAGGTAGTAAGATGTAGTAAGATTTTGAATTATTTCCTCAAGTCTTAAGCATACACCTGTGTATTTAAGTATAAATGAGCATGTACTGCTTTATAAAATAATTGTTTTACTTTTAAAAATGAAGATATGTGACCTGCTCTAGTATTCAGTATTTTAGAGGCCAGGAAAGAAAGCAATGTATGAAGTGGGTGGATCTAAGTGTTTGTTCCTGCATTGTAGAAGTGGAGTAAGCTTTAGTCAGTTGGAGAACCAGAGTATTACTAAGTACATTCTGCTACTCAGTAGTTCTTCTGATTGTTGCTGAATGAGTTCCATGTACTTTGATCTTTTAATAATATGAGAAGCTGCAAGTTCCAATTTTTGTTTGCAGTTTCCTGAATTTTAAAAATTCATAGTCTTTTTGTTGATTTTAGCACTATGACTTGACATTTGACAGGGGGTTACCAGTAGCAATTTCTCAGTTAAGCCAGCTCTTAGAAATTAATCTTAGAGTTTTTATCTTTTAAAATGAATATTAGAACTGTTTAATAGGCACAAAAAATGCAAAGCGAGTATGCTAGCAAGTATTGGAGACTGGACTGTAAAGTGTTCAGATAAGTTAATATATTATATAAATACTTCCCTTTTTAGAAAGTTGCATTTGAATATATTGTAGGATATTGTAGTCTTCGTAAACTGCAGTGTGATATTAGATTTTAGTTGTTTAGTTTTTAATTCTTAAATAAATTAAAATAAGTGACTTTATAATTAACTTTGTTAATAAAGCAGGGAAGACATGCAGCTGCCTCATGTAGATCCTTGTTTTAAATATGAATGTATTGTGGATTCTTAGAATTATGATAGCATTTTAATAATTTTTATAGTGCAGATGCTATATAACTTAACATATGTCCTGCCAAAGTGAGCATTGATGCTGTATGTTAAAAATAATGCTTTTTAACTTGTGGATTTGCTCAAGCATGCTCTTTTTTTGTTAAAAAGGATTTTAAAATACCTACTAATACAACATTAAAAACTCCTCTGGTTGCTGTATTTGATGATCTTGATATAGAAGTGGAGGAAGAAGATGAACTTAAGGCAAGAGGTAAAATACTTCTCTGTAATGGTTCTCCTTTGCTTGTCGCTGTCCATTTCTTCATGAAACTGTATAGTGGGAAAATTTCAAAATCTAGAGGTAAAATACATGAGACTATAATTAGAGATTAGGGATTCAGAAATTTATGGTATATTATTAGAAAAAAAAATGTATTCTTTTTTTCCCCTTACGTTATCAAAGCTGGCATCTTTTGCATTTTTGCTTTATGAGCTTTTGCTTAACTGTCTTTTGAGCTCTGTTTGAACCATAATTGTCAATTCATTTTTCTCTTCTTACCTGTCAATGGTAGGAATTGGTGGGGGAGGTATCATGTATCTCTTAGCAGAATTTCCAGTGGCTAATTTCTGGCTGGTGTGGTCACTTGAGAAGTAAACCAGCAGACGGGAGATCTTTTCTCTTTGTCTCTCTTTCGCTTTGTAAATCTGACTTTCCAATAAAAGTAATGAAAACAAATCTATTTTTTTTTTATAGGAGATTGTTATGATTCAGTAGACCTCAACTTTGTCATTATTTTACATATTCTTCCAGACCACTATTCTTGTTGTATATTCAAGATTTTCCTCTTCCCTCCCTCCCTTCCTCCCTTCCTCCCTCCCTTCCTTCCTTTCTTCCTCCCTTCCTCCCTTCCCTATGAATGGATCTGCAAAGTAAGTTTGTGATCCATTCATAGCTTTTTTTGTAATGCACATTTTAAAAAATGAACTTAAATGTGTTTTTGAATGAAAAAAAGAGCAAGAGAGCACTTGATCTTTTGAGATGGGGCTGGGGAGAATGCTAAAGCTAAAAACTCTTCTGTTTAGCTCTCCTGGGTGGGGAGATTTGATTTATCACTAATGATTCCCAAGGCCTGCATTAGCTGGAAGTTGGAGTCAGGAGCCAGAGCTAGGTATTAAACTGTCACCCTGCCTGATATATGATATGGTGTCTTAACCTCAAGCCTAAACACCCACCTTCCATAAACTTTTCATTTTTGAAGATCCTTCATATTTAGTGTATGTTGAAATAATTATCTGGAAGTTAATCCTTTGGTATAAGTTTAGCAGTACTCAAAAAACTAAATACTTAGAATTTTACGAGTTTTACCCTGTTAATTTTAAAAGGTTCTAATTCAGCTGTATTTTAGAGATTCTTGGAAGATTAAGCTTTTGTTTATCCTAAATCCAAGTAGCATTTATAATTTTATTTTAAAATATTTCATCTTTTAATAAACCAAATAAAAATGAGCTTTAAAAATGTATAAATATGGAAGAGATAAGATCATCCAGTGGCTGCTTTATTGAATTGAACTGAGTTGACATTTTGTATGTTGTTTGTAAAGTTTCATATACTTTAATAAAAGTTATTTCAATTGAAAAAGGAAGGAAAAGGAGTTTTGGTTATTTACTATGTCATGTGTTGTTTTTTTTTTTTGCATCTTTTTGAAAAAGATTTATTTGTTTTTATTTAAAAGGCAGAGTTACAGAGAGGGAGAGGGAAGGGAGGAAGGGAGAAAGAGATTGAGAAAGAATGAGAGAGAGATCTCCCTTTCACTGGTTCATTTCCCAAATGACTGCAAAGCTGGGCTTCCATCTGAAAGCAGGAGCAAGGAGCTAGGAACTGCTTGTAGGTCCTCGGTGTGGCTACAGGGGTCCAAGTACTTGGGCCCTCTTTGACTGCTTTCCCGGACCACTATAGGGAGCTGGATCAGAAGTGGAGCAACCACGACATGAATCAGCACCCATATGGATTGATGGTGCTCCATTTGGAGGCTTAACTCATTTTTAACATAAGGGACCATGGCAATTATTACTCTCTTACAATAATTAAATTAGGTTGTAATGAGAGATGTAAATATCATTTGGTACTTTTTAAATATGTATTTTTTTCCTGTCTTTTTAATAGTTTGTTTTTTTCAGGTTAACATAATGTTAATACAAAGAATAGATTCAGTGTAGCTCTTAGACAAGGTTCAGAGAGTAGAGTGATAGTCCCTTCCTCTTCCCTGCTTTTCTGTGTCTTTTCCCTTACTTCCTCCTTGCCTCTCCTTTTCTCCCCTCATCTTCCCTTTCCCTTCCCTTCCCTCTGCCTTTCTCTTACCACCTTATCCCTTCCCTCCTCTCCTCTTTCCCTGTTCCCATTCCTTTCTTTTCTCTTTGTTTTAGTCTTTTAGTTTGTGAAATAACGTTTTCAGTTACCATTATATTGAAGGACTCAATACTCTACTGATTTATCAGCCATGTAAATTTTAAAAATCTTGGTTCATTGGTAATGTAAGCAAGGGCTACATTAGTTAGAAAGATAACCTTTTCACCTATGGGTAGCAAATTTTTAAATGATCTGAAATCATTTAATTATTTGTTTGACCAAGATATAAAATAGAATTTGACAAAAACATATTTGTAACAGATGTTACACACAGTATTTTTTTAGCGTGTGTGTGTGTGTGTGTGTGTGTGGTTTTTTTTGAAGCGCCCACGTATAAGAGAGAACCTATGGTGTTTGTCTTTCTGTGTCTAGCTATTGCATTCAGTGTAGTTTTTTTCAGTTGTATCTATTTTGATGAAAATGTTAGAAGTTTGTTAGTTTTTATTGCTGAATGGAATATTCCTTGTATTTATACTTAATATATCTGTATGTCTCATATTCCTTATCTGTTCATCTTACGATGGACACCTTGGCTGATTCCATATTTTGACTATTTTGAAACAGTGCTGCTATAAACAGAACACATCTGTTGTTAGTTAAGGGTGGTCGGCAGGATTATTTTTCCTGTTGAAGTTTCAGGAGTTGTGCCCACTCATCCTTGATTTTATGTAAAACTCAAAAATCTGGAGATTTTAAGATTTCTAAAATTGCAACTTTTCTGGGTTGCTTGAATTGCTCTTTTTATTTATGTAATTCTTAATGTAGTTTGGGAATTACAGTATTCAGACACCCACAAAAGTGAGTTGTTTTTCCGTTATTGACTGGTAACATAATTTATGTTTTAACAGGTCTTACAGGTTTGAAAAATATTGGAAATACTTGTTACATGAATGCAGCTTTGCAGGCTCTTTCTAATTGGTAAGTAGAAAGTTTTTGTGTGTGTAGTTTTGTTTTTGTTTCTTAATTGATAGAGCCATGATAGACAGGCTGGTTGGTGGCTCATTCCATAAATGTTTGCCACAGCCTGGGCCTAAACAGAAGCTGGAAGTGAGTCTGGTTCTCCAGTGAGTGACAGGACCCCATCACTTGAGCCGTTACTGGTGCCTCTTATAAGGGATCTGCATTGATGAGAAGATGAAAAGAAGTGAACTCTGACACTCCAAAGTGGAGTGCAAGCATATTAAGCAGTAGGTCACACACCTGCTTTTGTTGGCATAGTTATTTATTTGAAAGGCAGAGAGAGAATAATGTGGGGAGAAGTAAATGCTGAGAATGCTTTTGACCATTGTGATATACTCCTTGGGTGCCTCTAGTCACCTGGGTTGTACTGGACTGAAGCTGGGAACTCAGTTCAGGTCTCCTGCATGAGGAACAGGCACTCAGATCACTTGCATCCCAGAGCCTGTGTTACCAGGAAGCTGGAGTGAGGAACAAGAGCCAAGGTCTTGAACACAGGGACTCCAGTGTGGAACTCTAGTCACTTAACTGGCATCTTAACTGCCAGGCTGACCTCTTCTCTGTCTGTGTAGTTTTTTTTAAGTTTTTCTATGAGCAGAAATCTGTGCCACTATAGTAGTTGACGGGTTCCCATGGTTGATGGAATATGGATAGAATCTCATGGGCAAGAATATGGATTGGAATGTAATCCATTATTGTCCCAATGGGGATACCTTATGTATGTCTGTAGTTTCTTAAGACTGATGATTCCTGATATAGTCTTATGTAATTTTAAGCAAGTGTGTAACACACAAGCATATACATTCAAAAAGTGAGGAGATTGCTTTTAAATCTGAGGTCTTTTGAGTGTATTTTATATTATATTGTAGGTGGAAATTGTCTAAGAAGGCATTCAAATGCTTTTTCTTTTTTTCTTAATCTTAGTCTGTCAAAGTTAAGGCAGGTATTACTCCTCAAGTTTAGACGTGTTGAGTGAGGATGTGCTGGCAGCTTTTACACCGGAGGCAGGTTATTTTATAAATAGAAGAAGTGTGTCTTGGCTTATAGGGGCCAGTGTTGTGATTCACAGTTCTGAAAGTGCGTGGGTCACACAGCATGGTGTAGGCTCTGGGAAGGGATCCCTTTGGCCACATCACGTCATGGCAGGAGCACGTATGTATCCCTGTGTATTCTCTCTTTCCTTATGTAGCTATACAGATTTAATCATGAGTGACATGGTTAATGGCCTAATCACTTTCCATAGACCCAATCCCTTCCCTAAACATTATAGTTAAGTGAACTCACTCCCTCTTCATATTAGTAATGTAACACTTTGGAGATTAAATTCCTATATGAATTTGAGTGAACAGATAATATTTAAAATGTAACAGAGGACCAGAATTCAGAAATCTCCGAACTTTACATTGTTCTTTCTGATGGCTTCAATTTTAGAGTAGTAATTAAAGGCTGAACTTACACATGTTGAAAAAAATTGCTTTAATTTTGACATAATCGTATATACTTTACCTTCAGTTTTCATATTCTATTTAGGTTATGTCGCATAACTGTGACATAAAGAAAATGCACCTTTTATTAATTGGTCAAGAATATCACACCGGGGCCCGGTGTGGTGGCCTGGTAGCTAAATTCCTTGCCTTTCATGCATTGAGATCCCATATGGGCGCTCGTTCTAATACCAGCAGACCCACTTCCCATCCACCTCCCTGCTGTGGTCTGGGAAAGCAGTTGAGGACAGCCCAATGCCTTGGGATCCTGTACCCACATGAGAGACCTGGGGGAGGTTCCTGGCTCCTGGCTTTGGATCGGCTGAACCCAGCTCTGGCCGTTGCAGCCACTTAGGGAGTGAGTCATCAGATGAAGATCATCCTCTCTGTCTCTCCTCCTCTCTGTGTATGTGCCGTTCCAATAGAAATAAATAAATAAATAAAATAAGTAAAAAATATATATATCTTTGAAGAAGTGACCTTTGATGTGAAATTAAGAATGAGGATGAGCCAGCTCTGTGGCGTAGCAAACTAAGCTGCTGCTTGTGGTGCCAGCATCCCATATGGCCACTGGTTGTTGTCCCTGGTACCCCACTTTTTTTTTTTATTTTTAAATAATAATTACATGGTTGATCAGGGTAGGAAGGACTGAAGTTTAAGGAAAATTGGGTGAACTCATTGCTTCCAAATTTGCTATTTCTTGTTATTCCAAAGGGAAGGGGAGAGACAAAGGGGGAAACCACTGATGACTTTCTACATCCCAGTACTCAGAGATGAGAAACCGCCACTTCATACCAACCAATCTGTCTCCCTGCTAATGGCCTGGGGAAGCAACTGAGTCCAGATCCTTGGGCACTATATCTGTGTGGAAGGCCTGAAAGAAGCTCTTGGTTCCTGGAATGAACCAACAGATGAAAGATCTTACTCTCTCTGTCTCTACTCTCTGTAACTCTGCCTTTCAAATAAAAATAAATCACAGGGCATAGGAAGATGAGGATGAGCTGGTGTAGGAAAAAGTGGGGAGATGGACTGGCTATGTGATGGCAGTAGATGACGTTACAGCTAGTGATGCTGGCTCTTAGATTGGACTGTCTTTTTAGTCCTGGCTGCTTTGCTTCCAGTCCAGCTCCCTGTTAATGTGCCTAGGAATAAAGTGGAGGTGGCCCAGATATTTGGACTCCTGCCAACATGGGAGGCCTGGATAGAGTACCTGGCTCCCTTTGGTCTGGTCTGGTCCTGACCATCCTGTCCACAGTGTAAAGTGGAGGATCTCTTTCTTGTTTAGTCTTTCTCTTATTTATTTGAAAGACAGAATTCATCTAGAAAAGAAGGAAGAAAGGAAAGGAAATGGAGGAAGGAGAACGTTTTAAGCAGAAAGTTTAATAGTCTTGAAGTTAGAAACATTCCAGAAACTATGTGACAGGAATTGAGCTGTCAGAGGATAGGATTAAATGGATTCAAGTGAGATAGAGCACATTTAAAATTTAGGTTTCTTTCCTTTGTTGCCTTTTTTTTTTTTTTTTTTTAAGGATTTATTTGTTGTTCCTGGAAAGGCAGATTTACAGAGAGAAGAGACAGAGATAAAAATTTTCCAGCTGCTGGTTCACTCCCCCAATGGCTATCACAGCCAAAGCTGAGCTGATTCGAACCCAGGAGCCAGGAGCTTCTTCTGGGTCTTCCATGTGGATGCAGGATGTTAAAGCTTTGGGCCATCCTCTGCTGCTCTCTTAGGCCACAGATGGAGACCTAGATGGGAAGTGGAGTAGCAAGGACAAAAACAGGCTGCCATATGGGAGCCTGGTGCCTGCAAGGTGAGGATTTAGACAATTGAGCCATTGCGCTGGGCCCAAAGATGTAGGTTTCTAACTATCAGTGTAATTAAAGTATTTTTACAATAGTATCACTAAATAATCCAACTTTACCTTTTTTTTTAATTGGAAAATCAGATATAGAAACAATATAAATACACTCAATAATCTTTGGTATATGGATGAAAACTTAAATCACTTAGGAAAGAGTATAGAGTGAAGAGGAAAATGCTAGTGTAAAGTGCTGAGGAATTTCTTGTATATTGTCTAGGAGCAAGAAAGGTTAAGCAGTGCTTTATAATGATCAGAGGAAGATTTGTTCAATGTAGGGATTACTCAGAGAGGACTGGACTTGGCAGGATGGAAAAGTGATGTGGTGGGGCCAAGTGTCGCTTGGATGAGTTAGGCTACGTAAGTGAATGTCAAGCTGTAAGAAAGAGCCTGGAAATGACATGCAGGGCAATAGACGTCGGTAGTTCAGTTCACAATGGGACATTGATTCGCGTTAATCTTTGTTTCTATTCAACTATCTTTCTTTTTTTAAATTAGCCCACCTCTGACACAGTTTTTCCTCGATTGTGGAGGACTAGTTCGAACAGATAAGAAACCAGCAATTTGTAAAAGTTATCTCAAACTTATGACAGAATTGTGGCATAAAAGCAGGTATGTTCTTAACGTATTCATCTTTATTATGTCTTAACTGTGCATGATACATATTAATGGTGCTAATCTGTTTACAGAGCTGAAAAACAGATTTGAGATGGTTCAGATTAGTTAGGTTAAGGGATGTTACATTTGAAACTGAGTAGTGGAGTCATACAAGCCTGGAAGTAGCTGAATTGGTAACATGATGAGTTGTCAAGTCTGTTGTTAAGTTGTTACTGAAACTTGAGTTTTAATGCAGGAGCATGCATTCTAACACTAAAATTAGAACAGAAATATTTGTAAGATTGTCTTATGTTTATTTTAAAGTTTAATATTGAGCTAATAATTTTTTACTATGTTAACTTACTTTAGAACTATTATAAAAACCGTATTTTTGAAAAATAGAAGTGGAACAGGCTCATTTAGTCAGGAGTAGAGAGTATAAAATATCAGTGATAAGTAGTTCTGATGAGCCTGTGAAATGGAAATACACACAGTCTTGATGGCTGTTTGAAACATAAATACTTTGTAATTTATTTAACACTTTGGATTCTTGGCTGTAAGTCAATAAAATTATATTTTAAATTATTCCATAAAAATATTTTCTTTTTCAGGCCAGGGTCTGTTGTACCTACTAATTTGTTTCAAGGAATTAAAACTGTAAATCCTACATTTCGGGGATATTCTCAACAGGTCAGTCAGTTGCTTTCATTCATACTTTTAATAATACTTAATAAATTTTAAAAATGCTGTTTATCTGTTTATCTTTTTGAGTGTTCCTCTTCCAAGATAATCCTTTATCATGTTTATAATTTTTATTTTTGTTTTATAATGTCTATTTTCTGGAAAATTTGTAAATTTTGGGTGGATAAATATGTCAATATATTTTGTAGAGTGTTTTTGATTTCAAGTTCCATGTCCAGGAAGTGAAGATTTTCACCTTTATTTCCCATATTTTATATTCAATTCATGCCTTTATTTTATGTACTTTGTTCTTTGGCATTTTCACATTCAGCTTTTCCATATGTGTAGAATTTATTTATGATTGCAGTAGAGTTTAAATTCAGATTTTTTCATAAACAGCTATAGAGATTGCACCAAATACTTAAACTAATGTAAGAAAGAAAGGATAGCCATCCTATGTGGTTAAAAAGATTTTTTAAATCTTGTGTTAATATATGGTAGAATCTGTACTTGGCTTATTTTTTTTAACTAGTTCTACATTGCCATTTAGGTTATTGTAGTTGTATATGTTTTTATATAATACCATATATATATGTGCATATATATGGTATTATATATAAACAAAATATATATATATATATATATTCCCATGTAACTTCTGAGATCTTCAAAGATTGTAATTTGATGGTTTGAGTTGGAGGCCAGAAATTTGTATCTTAAAAAAAGTCCTATAGATTTACTAAGGATTTTTTTTTGAAATATACTGCATGGTTGGGTAAACCCTTAGTTTCTCTGTACTTACACCCCATGTTTCGTACTTACAGTGTTTACACCCCATGTTTCGGTTCGGAACATTTCTCAGATTCCCTGTCACATGAAACAAATAGTTTTCTTTGTTTAACACTCCAGATTATAAACAGTAACATAATTAAAAACTGACAGATCAGTTTGTTGAAATTTTGTTTTATTTACATAACTTTGTAGCATTTAAGCACTGCATCCCATCTCTGCTGCCTTATTTTCTACGAACTAGAATTTTCCTGGCATAATACTATACTAAAAAATCAGTTGATAATCACATTTCCTATGTGTTCCTGTAAGTTTCAAGGTACATATGTAATGAAATAGTCACGTTATATTGCTGATACCTTAGGATGCTCAAGAATTTCTCCGGTGTTTAATGGATCTCCTTCATGAAGAATTGAAAGAGCAAGTCATGGAAGTAGAAGAGGATCCTCAAACTATAACCCCTGAGGAGACCATGGAAGAAGATAAGAGCCAGTCGGATGTGGATTTTCAATCTTGTGAATCATGTAGCAGCAGTGATAAAGCAGAAAACGAAAATGGCTCAAAAAGCTTTTCTGAAGATAATAATGAAACAACAATGTTAATACAGGATGATGAGAACAATTCAGAATTGTCAAAAGATTGGCAAAAAGAGAAGATGTGCAATAAGATTAATAAAATGCATTCGGAAGGAGAATTAGATAAAGATAGAGATTCTGTGTCTGAAACAGTCGACTTGAACAACCAGGAGACTGTGAAAGTGCAAATACAGAGCAGGACTTCAGGTGCCACTGAATAATTCCATTGTCGAAAGGGTGTCTGTAGATGATGAATGCTGAATTGTTACTTTTGAGACTTAAGATTAATGAAGTTATAGTTCAGCAAAGTTTGCATCTGTTAAAGTCATGAAATTGTTGGCTTTTAGGATAAGGAATTTTAGAAATTTTAGAAATTTTCCTCCTCTTGAGCTAACGTTCATTACATATATAAGATGTCAGTGTTGGAAGACTGTCTAGCCCTTTCCTGTCAAAAGTCCTGCTAAGCTTGATCCAAGGCCATATTGCCCTGTAGTGGATTTATTCTTCTGCCCAAGTCCAGGGTTTATGATTCTTATGTGTTTAAGAGACTTGATGAAGAAAAATATGATGAAGAATATATGGCACACAAAGCCTAAATATTTACTACTTGGGCATTTATAGTTCCTGACTTAGATTACATTAATTTTATTCCTTTCAGAAAACTGCAGGGGCTGGCATTATGGCATAGCACATTAAGTTGCTGCCTGTGCTGACATGCCATTTAAGCACTGATTCAAGTTTTGGCTGCACCACTGTGGATCCAACTCTCTGCTAATGTGTTTTGGAAAGCAGTGGAATAAGGCCCGAGTTGTTGGGCCCTTGCCACCCATGTGGGAGACCTGGGAGAAACTGGCTTCTGACTTTGGTTCCCATCCCAGCCATTGTGGCCATTTGGGGAGTGACCAGAGGATGGAAGTGCTCTCTGCCTGTCTCTGCTTCTTTTTGTAACTGCCTTTCAAACAAAAAATGATTCCTAAAAAATTTTTTTCGCCTCTTAAATTATTCTGTCAATATGGTTATGATTGGATACTGAAGAATTTCTCGTGATCTGAAAACAATCTATGACGACATTCCTGTTCAGGATCTCCTATGAAGCATTCATTTGTCTTTGCTCAAAATACTTGCTTGAGTGCAGATAGTCATTCACCTTGGAATATGTTTTAGTCTCCAGGAATGCAAGAGGAAACAATGCAAAACTTAATTCATACAGTTTAGTTCTTAAAAAAAATATTTTCCTAATCAAATGATGTGTTTTAACTTAGTTAATAAGACTTCTTGAATTTGTTTTAATTTGATTGCTGGTTAGTTTGGGAGAATAATTTTTTATTTTCCCATCTAGCTTTAAAATTTTAAAAAATATTCTGATTCTTTAAAAAAAAAAAAAACAAAAACTTGGGCCTGGTGCAATGATTCACCCGGCTAATCCTGCCCTTTCAAACATGAGCATTCCATACGGGTACCAGTTTGTATCTTGGCTGCTGCACTTCCCATCCAGTTCCCTGATGTGACTTTGGAAAACAGCAGAGGTGGCCCAACATTGGAGACCTAGAGGAAGCTCCTATCTCCTGGCTTCAGATCAGCTGAGCTCTAGCCATTGCAGCCACTTGGGGAGTGGATGAAAGATCTTTCTTTCTGTCTCTTCTCTCTGTAAATCTGTATTTCCAATAAAAATAAATCTTTAAAAATAAAAAAAATCACATAAAATTATATTGGGAAAAATAAGATACTCTTTGTATTTTCACAGCTCACTTCTTAAGTTGTCTATAGCAGAAGCAGTGGTTTGAAATCTAGGCTGGTAGAAAAAAGGCGATTCTTAAGTAGAAAATTACTTTTTTTGCATAGTAGGTATTTTGAATCAAATATTTGTCATTTTTTAGTGTTAATTTTATTCAGGGTATCATATTGTCATTTAATATTGTATGGTTTTATTATGTAAAAGATAATAATGTAGATTTTTAATATTGCAGAATATATCACTGATGTCCATGTGAATGACCTGTCTACATCACAGATTGTTCCTTCCAATGAAAGTGCTAATCCACGTTTATCAACAAGCCCTCCTAAATCAGGAAATTTGTGGGCAGGATTGACACCCACACACAAAAAAAGTAAGAAGATTCCCTTTTTGAGTTTCTGTGCCTTGATTCTTAGTTTAGATTGTAGATTTTGATATTTGCTAAAGTACTAAGCAAAAGATGGTGTGCGATCTGTGAAAACTGAAAGCGTAAATCTGTGCAGCTTAGATTAAAAGTCTTTTGGTGTGTTATATTCTTGTTTTTCACAATTTATATGTGGTTGAATTCATTTTTGGGGGGAAGTAAAGTATGAATTGTTCATTATCAAAAATAGTAAGGAATGCAGAACACTTCTGATACTCTGAAGAGTTTCCTTATCCTAAATCTTTGTAATCAGATCATCTCCCAACCCCTGGGCCCTTACACAACTGATCATCTGTCTCTATTGGTTTACTTTTTCCTAGGATGTCCTAAAAATAGAACCATATAGTATAACCTTTTTGAAACAAACTTATTTTATTTAATTTATTTATTTATTTTTTTATTGTTGTTAACATTGTATTATGTGATACAGTTTTATAGGCACTGGGGATTCCCCCTACCCCTCCCATACCCCTCCCCCCATGGTGGATTCCTCCACCTTGTTGCATAACCACAGTTCAAGTTCAGTTGAGATTCGTTCCTTGCAAACACATATCTAGCATAAAGTCCAGCGTCTTATTGTCCAGATAAGTTCAGTGGCCTCTTGGGGAGACCTTCTCTAGTCTGAAGATAGGGCTAACAGAGTAAAGATCCGGTCAGTTAAAAGCCCCAACAAAACCTCAGTATCAATATACAACATTATGGAATTAATTGACATAGTATTGGGTAAACAATATGTTAAAAATAATGCAAGTTCCATTCTTCGAAACATCTGGGTTGAGACAGTGTCAATGACAGGTTCAAAAAATAACCAACAACCAAACAAAAATTACAAGTTAAATCAAGGCAAACATGTGGTATCTAACCTTTTGGGATTCGCTCATTTCCCTTAGCATTATAGTTTCCAGTTGGGCCCATTTAGCCACAAAGAACTACATTTTGTTTTTTTTAATAGCTGAGTAGTATTCCATGGAGTAGATGAACCAAAGCTTTCTTATCCAATCTTCTGTTGATGGGCATTTCGGTTGCTTCCATGTTTTTGCAATTACTGATTGTGCTGCTATGAACATAGGGATGCATGTTGGTTTGTTGTAAAACAGGTGTTTTGGATATATTCCTAGGAGTGCTATTGCTGGGTCATATGGTATGCAGATTTTGAGTTGTTTGAGTGTTCTCCAGACTGATTTCCATAAAGGCTGTACCAATTTGCAGCTCCACCAGCAGTGGAGTAGGGTTCCCTTTTTACCGCATCCTCGCCAGCAAGCGTCGTTGGTGTTCTTGTTTATGTGGGCCAATCTAACTGGTGTTAGGTGGTACCTCATCGATGTTTTAATTTGGATTTCCCTTATTGCCAGGGAGCTGGAACATTTTTTCATATGTTGAAACAAACTTATTTTACCCAAGAAATATTCATTTAAGAATCAGTTGCTTTATTGCATATCTGACATATCTGAATAGTTTGTTCTGGTTTTTTTTTTTTTTTTTTTTTGGTTATAGAATTTGAATTCATTGGATAAATTAGCATTTTTTTGTTCATTCATTCAGGAACTTTTAAACTGTTTGCAATTTTAGATTATTATGAATAATGCTAATTTAAACAGAGGGTTTATAGGCTTTTCTTTGAACCTAAATTTTACTTGCCTAGGAGGAATACGTGGGCCTAGGTTCACTGGGTTTTATATGTTATTCAGGCTAACATTGAATGAACATGGCAAACTGTTTTCCAGAGTATCTGTATCATTTTGCATTCCCATCAACCTTATATAAAACTCTTAAGAGAAAAGACAGGAGAAAAGTCTTGAACTTGTTAGGGTTAGGTAAACAGTTCTTGAAAACATCAGACTTCAGAAACATGATGCATAGAAGAAAAACACTTTTTTCTTAGCAAAGGACATTTTTAACAGAATTACAAGATTTAGGAGGAAATAGTTGAAATTATAGAAGACAAAGGACTTTTATTAGAAAATACAGAAAGGGATTCTCAACAGATTGGTGATGGAATGCTGTCTTTAAAGCTTCAGTTGGAGGCAGAATTACTTTGAGGACAAGATAGGCAACAACTCTCCCGTTTTATCTTAAGTTTCCTCTCCACTTTTCTAACATTGCTCCCTCTTCCTTTGCTGTGTGGAACATTAATCCTCAGTGGTAAGGCTAAGGTCTCATTTTGCATACAAAAAATGGATACTGTGCTAATGCAAGATTTTGATCATTTGCCTGTATGTACAAATATTCTTTTTTTTGAAAGCAAGTTTTATCTGAATTTTTTTATTTAATTTTTTTTTATTGCAAAGTCAATTATACAGAGAGGAGGAGAGAGACAGGAGGATCTTCCATCTGATGATTCACTCCCCTAAGTTGTCACAATGGTGGAAGCTGAGCCGATTTGAAGCCAGGAACTAGGAGCTTCTTCTGGGTCTCCCAGGCGGGTGCAGGGTCCCAAGGCCTTGGGCCGCCCTCGACTGCTTTCCCTGGCCATAAGCAGGGAGCTGGAATGGAAGTGGGGCCTCTGGGACACGAACCTGTGCCCATAAGTAGTGCTCTTGAAGTATACTTTGAAAAATTTTATGTGTAGGAATTTTAACTGTTAAATATTCTAGAGGAAAACTGTTAAATGAAGACCCTGCCCCCCACCTTTTTTTTTAACATTCCGCATTTCGTTTGCAATTCCAGCTCCATCTGCATCTCCTAAGAGAAAGAAACAGCACAAGAAATACAGAAGTGTTATTTCAGACATATTTGATGGAACAATCATTAGTTCGGTACAGTGTTTGACTTGTGACAGGGTGAGTATGAGGGGATTAGAGTATACAGAAAATTTCTGTCAAGTGCTCTTAGGTTTGTAAAATGTAAAAATGTGGAAAGCTCCTCCTGGTTGCTGATAATCATATATTCACATCTAACCTTTGCATTAATATAAATTGATTCTAGAAATAGAATCTACTCTTAGCGACATTTAACAGAGATGTAATTTTTGAAGGATTGATCTTGATCCATCATTGAACAGGCATGTATTAGCAGGAAGCATTGCTAAATTCTCAGTTGGTGTTTTGGTTGCATAGGAAAGTGGGAAGTTGCTCAGCAGCAGGGGTTAGGAACACGTGACTGTTCTCCAGGGCTTCTGAAATGGGTAGGCTAGGATACTGTTGCTATTCATAGACCCATGGGAGTTGAAAATGTCTCTAGCAGTTGGATATACTTAACAGCTTGTCAGTGCTTTCACAGATTGAGATTAGATAATAGTGTCAAATTTGTAAACAGTAAAAAGGGTGTAAGTGAAAAATCATGAGTTTTTAAATAGCACTTCATTAAACTATTATTAAGACTGGCTTTATTTTGATGTACTAGTGAATCTGAATTAACATCTCAGGATCAAGACTTGAGCTTTCAGTTGTTAACATTAAAATCTTTAGTCAAATCTATTTCCTGTGGGATTATTTTAAAGTATATTCTTTTGATATTAAGTATTTAAGTAAAATGATCCAGAAATGTTTTCAGTTGCTGCCGTGCCCTGTGTGCTAATGATGTTTCAGTCAATGACGGAGTGTGCCCATCTTTAAGATTGCATTACTTAGAGATGTAGTCTTTGTGTACATACGCTGAATGTGTTGTCGAGAGGAATGTAACAGAGCATTTCTGTAACTTATTGTGAACTGGTATCTGTATTTAAAAATCAGATGCCAGTGCTGCTCCGATCTGAAGCCAGCATTCAGGAACCTCTTCCGGGTCTCCCACGCGGGTGCAGGGTCCCAAAGCTTTGGGCCATCCTCAAGTGCTTTCCCAGGCCACAGGCAGGGAGCTGGATGGGAAGTAGAGCTGCCGGAATTAGAACCGGCGTCCATATGGGATCCTGATGCATTCAAGGCGAGGACTTTAGCCGCTAGGCCATGGCGCCAGGCCCTTGTCAATCCTTTTTAAGTACGCATTTGTTTGTTTATTTATTTGAGAAACAGGACAAAAGCTTCCATTTTCTGATTCACTTTCCAATTGCTTGTAACAGCCACACTGGGCCTAGGCTAAAGTTGCCAGTGGAAGTTCAGTCTAGGTCTCCACACAGATGGCAGGGAAGAAGCCATCATGTGCTGCCTCCCACAGTCTGCACTGGCGGAAAGGTGGAGTTGGGGATCAAGCGGATTATCACACCCAGGCTTTCACATATGAAATATGGGCCTCTTAATTGACAGTATTAACCACAGATCCAAATGCCTGCTTATTTCACCCCTGGACCATTTAAAACTATTGGTAAAAATCAGTTTCCAAAGTAAATACAATAGTCCATAAACTCCAAATCTCAAGCCACAGTAGTTGGATTTGGGATACTTTCCGTGATGCTACAGTAACTGGTAATTTTGCTGTTACTGAAAAGTGTTTTTCTCCAGTTTATTTTTGCTTATTATAACTTGTCTTGACTTTTGCAGTAAAACAATTTAACCTTATAAATGTTTGTGCTGGATTATTTTCATCCTATTTTTAAAACAAAACAATTTTAGGTGTCTGTAACCCTCGAGACCTTTCAAGATCTGTCCTTGCCAATTCCTGGCAAGGAAGACCTTGCTAAGCTGCACTCATCAAGTCATCCAACTTCTCTAGTCAAAGCAGGATCATGCGGCGAAGCTTACGCTCCACAGGGGTGGATAGCTTTTTTCATGGAGTATGTTAAGAGGTACGTATTTATTTTCTTTGTATCTAATTCATTGTTAAAACTGCTGTTTCTGCTGTACTGGCAGAACACTTCCTTTTTCTTCTGTCAATGATGTTTCAGGTTTGTTGTCTCATGTGTCCCTAGCTGGTTTTGGGGTCCAGTAGTAACCTTGCAAGATTGTCTTGCTGCCTTCTTCGCCAGAGATGAATTAAAAGGTAAGAAACATAGTAATATTGTTGGCTAAATTGCTGTAGATGAGCCTCATATCCTAGTGGAACAAAATGTAAAATATATCCATAAAAGCTTGATTTTAGGCCAGCTTAAATAGTACTTGCTCATTGCCAGGATTTGCCATGGCAATGTTAAGCATATGAGAAAAGAAAAAAAAAATCTCATTCTGAAGAAATTTATTTGGGTTCCTGTAGTGTAAGACAATATGATTTACAAGGTATCTTACAGCTGTTCTTGGATTCAAAGAAGGGAAACTCATTTAGAATAGTTAACTTATTATCCATATAGCTGAAATGATCTGTCCTCCATATCAGTTAAGGCTCCTTCCCTAATTTTGCATGTCTAGCACCTTCCTTGGATATGTGACTAGGTATTCATAAATTTTCTTGAATGAGTAAATGGAAAGGGTGGTATTTAAGGTAGGCTTTCAGTGTTGAAAGTGAGTGAGGGGCATATTTTTGCTAAGGAAAATGTCATGAATTGACTTGGGCAGAGCCTAAAAACAAGAACCATATATAACTGCACTGTGAGATCAGCATATGACAGAATCAAAGGATTATAGAACCAAAAGGAAACAGTTCATTTTTGTTGTTGTTTTGAGAATAACCAGATGTGCTTTGTTTGCAGGTGATAATATGTACAGTTGTGAAAAATGTAAAAAGTAAGTGACATTGACACTGCATTGATCTTGGTCTTTTGAATTGGAGATATGGAGTTAAGTTTGATGTTATATTTATAAAAATATAGACCAGAAAGCCTTATCCCATAATAATGAGGAAATTGGTAGTTCTATGAAATAAATTGAAGATTAAAACTCAATAGGTTAATTAGACTTATATAATTCGTTAAAATATATATTTAAAAGGCAGAGGGACCCAAGGTGTCCTGTCGGTGTTTTCGGGGTATCTTCTTTCCCCAAGTGGCCATGACAGAACTGGGCCAGGTTAAGACAAACCTGGAACTTCATGTGTGTCTCCCACGTGTGTAGTAGAGGTTCAGGTTTCTGGGCTGCCATCTGCTGCTTTCCTATGTGCTTTTGCACGGAGCAGGATCATTAAGTACTTGTGTCAGCTCCGGTTTGGGAGGCCGTCATCACAGGTTGTAGCTAACACATTGCAACATGGTATTGACCCTGTAAGTAGATATTTTTGCCAAATTTTATGTTATTTTCTATGAACAGAATTAGACAAAGTTTAATTCAGTCTAGCAGCTGCCTTTTTCTTTTAATATTAATTCAGACTTGTAAAGCTTGGTGATAGAAAAAAGTGATTGGAGACTTGATACAGATGACTATTTTTGAGGAAAATAGGAAAATTTTTCTGAATTTTTTTTTAAGATTTATTTATTTTTTGGGGCCCAGCGCGGTGGCGCAAGTGGTTAAGTCCTCGCCTTGTACGCCCGGGATCCCATATGGGCGCTGGTTCTAATCCCGGCAGCCCCGCTTCCCTTCCAGCTCCCTGCCTGTGGCCTGGGAAAGCAGTTGAGGACGGCCCAAAGCTTTGGGACCCTGCACCCGTGTGGGAGACCCGGAAGAGGCTCCTGGCTTCGGATCGGCATAGTATCGGCCCGTTGCGGCTCACTTGGGGAGTGAATCATCGGACGGAAGATCTTCCTCTCTGTATCTCCTCTCTCTGTATATGTGCCTTTCCAATAAAAAATAATAAAAATAAAATCTTTAAAAAAAAAAAAGATTTATTTATTTTTATTGGAAAGTCAGATTTACAGAGAGGAGAGACAGAGAGAAAGATGTTCCATTTACTGGTCCACTCCAGAAGTGGCTGCAATGAACAGAGCTGGCCTGTCTGAAGCCAGGAGCCAGGAGCTCTTCTGGGTTTTTCATGCAGGTGCAGTGTTCCAAGGCTTTGGGCCGTCCTCGACTGCTTTCCCAGGCCACAAGCAGAGAGCTGGATGGGAACTGGAGCAGCTGGGACACAAACTTGCACCCATGTGGGCTACCAGTGCTTGAAAGTGGATGATCAGCCTGTTGAGCCATTGTACCCACCCAGAAAGACTTTATTAGTATTTCCTTGAAACCCTAGATGACAAGCCAAGAGGTTATTGACATGGAGAGAGATCCTTCCTTGTAAAGCAGAGCAAACTAGGGAAAAGATACCAGTAAAAATCCATATTGAAAGTAGGACTTTTTTTTTTTTTTAAAGATTTATTTTTATTATGTTTTTATTGGAAAGGCGGATATACAGAGAGGAGAGACAGAGAGGAAGATCTTCCATCCGATGATTCACTCCCCAAGTGAGCACAACGGTCGATGCTATGCCGATCCGAAGCCAGGAGCCTCTTCTGGGTCCCAAAGCTTTGGGCCGTCCTCGACTGCTTTCCCAGGCCACAGGCAGGGAGCTGGAAGGGAAGCGGGGCCGCCGGGATTAGAACCAGCGCCCATATGGGATCCCGGGCGTGCTAGGCGAGGACCTTAACCACTTGCGCCACCGCGCCGGGCCCCGAAAGTAGGACTTTTTAAAGGTGCATGTTAATATTCTTTATTATGTCATTCTTTTTATGAAGCTTTTTCTCCCTTAAAAATGTCTTATTTATTTGGAAGGCAAAGTTATGGAGATGGTGAGAGAGAGCTTCTATTCACTGATTCACTCCCCAAATGGTTACATGGGTCATAGTCGGGCCAAAGTTAGGAGTTAGGGACTTCATCTGAGTCTTTGACATGGCTGCAGCTGCTTTCCCCTGTGTACTAGATCCAAGGTAGAGATGCTGGGACTTAAACTAGTGTTCATATGTGATGCTGGCATTGCAGGCAGTTGGCCAACCTGTTGGGTTACACCACTGGTACTGTGTTGTAAGAATAATATGTGGTAAAAAAAAAAATTTACAAATTGATCTGCACTACAAATTTATGAATTTGGAATTTTGGTTTATCTAGCTTTATTCATTCATTTTTCTATTATTTATTCATTATTAGAAAGCCATAGTCAAACAATAAATGGTAACACACTGTTTTTTAAAAAAATGTTTTAAAGAGATTTTTAGATTTATTTTTACTGAAAAGTCAGATACACAGAGAGGAGAAGAGACAGAGAGGAAGATCCTCCGTCTGATGATTCACTTCCCAAGTGACCTAGGCAGCTGGAGCTGAGCAGAAATAAAGTCTGGAGCCAGGAGCTTCTTTCCGGTCTCTCACGTGGATGCAGGATCCCAGGGCTGTGGGCTGTCTTCGACTGCTTTCCCAGGCCACAAGCTGGATGGGAAGCAGAGCAATCAGGATGTGAAGCAGCATCTACATGGGATCCCAAAGTGTGCAAGGCAAGGACTTTAAGTGCAAGGCTATCTCAGTGGGCCCTCCCCCCAATTTTTAAATCAGTGAATAATATCTCTTCCTATGTATGTTACTGATGTAATTTTTTTGCTGATTTTTTTTATAATAAGGACCCAGTGTTTTGATTATTATATTTAGTCTGTAACGTAATTCAACAGTAAGCATTTCTAGACTTCATCCTTTGTGCTTTCACTTTCTGAGAGTTTTTGTAATATATGAAAAGATACCGAACTTTCTGTGGCTTAATTGATTTTTTGGTTTTCTCATGTAGGTTGAGGAATGGAGTAAAGTTTTGTAAAGTGCAAAAATTTCCTGAGGTATGGGCTTTGTTTTATTTTATGTGATAAAGCACTGTTTATTTACTTTGTCTTGTGTGGTAAAGCATTGGTGTTTTCTGTTAGCATTGTTGAAGAATGCAATGGAGAGTCACTTCCCAAAGCTGTGAGTTTGGTTGAACATGGTTTAGATAGTGTAGGATCTGGCAAGGTATCAAGAGTAAAGTTAGGAAAACAAAGAACAGATACTTAAAAGTCACCATTTTCCACATTTTTAGCATTCCTGGATTCAAATTGTAGTTGCAGTTTAGTGTTTAAACTTGAAACTTAATTCAGTGTCAGTTTTTAATAGATTTCCTTATCTAACATAGAAAATTTTAAAATATTAATTTTTTTTTTTACTTTTGTAATTTTATTTTGATTGAATATGTTTCTTGCTTGTTGATGTTTGTGTAGTTTTGCCACTGGGAATGTTTTTAGTTTTTCCTAATGACAGACTAGGGTTTTGAATTTTATTATCTTTTAGATTTTATGCATTCACCTTAAAAGATTCAGACATGAACTGATGTTTTCTACCAAGATCAGCACCCATGTTTCATTTCCACTGGAAGGTCTGGATCTTCAGCCGTTTCTGGCTAAAGATAGTCCAACTCAGATTGTGACTTATGATCTTTTGTCTGTCATTTGTCACCATGGAACTGCAAGTAGTAAGTACTCAGCTTTGACTATTGATCTTATATTTGAAAAGGAATAAAATCATTGGAGCTAAAACCTTACATAAGACCTGGGAAGAAAAAAATATTAAAAACAAATGATTTCACTGCTGTTTTTTTTAAAAAATTCACATTTTCAAGGTAAGGAAATGTTAGTCAAGGAGATGGAAATACTGGTTATCTGTCCTATCTATCTATCTATATCTCTGTCTACCTTCCTTCACCTTGATTTAAATATTAAAGATTTTATATGTATATCAGATAATCACATGTGCCTCATAAATAGGTACAGTTGTGTGTCAGTTTAAAAAATTGTAAATTAAAACATCACGAATGAACGTTTGGTGCAACAGTTGAGTTGTGGCACTGGCTGGGATGACTGTGTGCTGTATTGGAGTTCCCGTGTTCAAGTCCTCCTTCTGCTTCTGCCTCTGTCTTCCTGTTCATGTGAACTCTGGAAGGGAACCAGTGTTGGCTGAGGCACTTGGATCCATGCCACACGTGGGAGACTCAGATGGAGTTCCTAAATTCTGGCATTGGCTTGTCCCAGTCCTACGTGTTGCAAGCATTTGGGGGAGTGAATGGGCAAAGGGAAAATCTTTCTCTGTTTAAATGTTGGTCCCTTTCCCTCTGTATTTCAAATAAATGAGGGGCAGGGAACCTATGTCAAATATATTTTAGAAAATTGAGTATTTTTTACTGTGATATTTGAAACATTAGATATTTTAACATGATCATTCTTACATTGCTTTTCTGTTTGAAGAATTATTTATTTGAGACAGTGCTTCCATCCACTGGTTCATCTCAAGTGATTGCACTGGTTGAGTAAGGCTGAACTGAAGCCAGTAACTGAAAGATCTAGGCCTCCTCTGTGGATGGCAGGGCCTTAATTCCTTGAGCCATAATTGGTGGCCTTCTAGGATCCTCTTTGGCTGTAAGCTGGAGGCAAGTGCTGAGGATCAAACCCAAGCACTCCAGTATGGGATGTGGGTGTGTGAACCAGTGATTTGGCTACTAGGCACAATGCCTGACCCTACAGAGGATTTTTTAAAATTCTATTTTCTGTCCTTCATCTCCTCAAGTGTTGGTATATTTCAGCTATTGTATTAAACCTTGGATATACAAAATGTATATACCATTGTTGTGTTAATTTTGTTACTGAAATAAATTCTTTTCCTTTATATTCAGGTGGACATTATATAGCCTATTGCCGAAATAATTTAAATAATCTCTGGTATGAATTTGATGATCAGAGTGTCACTGAAGTTTCAGAATCTACTGTGCAAAATGCAGAAGCCTATGTTCTTTTCTATAGGTAATGGAATGCTATCTCACAAGTAGAGTGTTTTTACAAGTATCAAAGAATGTATCCTTCTTGGGCTTATTAGTAACTTTAAAAAAAGTTTCAAATGGGTTACCAAGTAAAGATTAGAAGTAATTAACCCTCATGGAATGAGTAAAATAGAGTAAAAGATTGTATGTAGCTATGTTAAATGATTTACAAGAATGACAAGTTGTTCAGATTACATTAAATCATTTACATGAATGGCACGGTGATGCATTTTCTTTTAGCAACTTTTAACAAAAGGAAATTAGTACTGGTGTTAAGGGATGAGTGGCAAATTTTCTCCTAAACCAGCTAGTAATCAAGGCTTTATAATTATTTATGTATTTATTTGTATCTTAGAAATTTCTATTTGCTGAAATAGATACATAGTGCAACTATTGAGATTGAGTTTGCTAATAGACTTTGCCTCATGGGTAACATTGATTTTGTGGACCCCAGAAGATGAAACAGAATGTTGCCTGGGGAGGGTTATAGTGGGTTTGTGCAGTGATAAGGCATAATTCTCTTAAAATTCTCAAGATTTAATAAGGCCTGTGGTATTAATCCGTGTGCTATGTCAAGTAAGAAAAGTTTGCCAATTAATCTATTGTAAAATGCAAACTGAATGTAGTTACCATTGTCCTTAATAGGAAGAGCAGTGAAGAAGCACAGAAAGAGAGGCGAAGAATATCGAATCTGTTGAACATAATGGAACCAAGCCTCCTTCAGTTTTATATTTCTCGACAGTGGCTAAATAAATTTAAGACCTTTGCAGAACCTGGCCCTATTTCTAATAATGATTTTCTCTGTATTCATGGAGGTAAGAAATTGTGTTAAGTAATGGCAGAGGTTTGGTGTTAAGTAATTTGCACAATAGGAAAACGCCAGGAACTTTCCACTATTTCTCATTTCTTCAGTTTATTTCCATATGGCTTCAGAAATTAGCTCATTATTGAATATCTGTTCCAAATTCTGCTTCAGAATAAAGATATCAGAAGATCTCTCTTTAAGGTTTGATGTCATGTTAGAGTCAGATGCATAGACAATTGCAGTACAGTGACTCTTGCACAGATTTTAGACATTGTTTTTTAAAAAGAAGTATTTATTTAAAGAGTAAAACACACACACACACACACACACACACAGATTTGTTTATTTGCTTTTATTGGAAAGTCAGATATACGGAGAGGAGGATCTGTCTGCTGATTCACTCCCCAAGTGGCCACAATGGCCAGAGCTAAGCTGATCCGAAGCCAGGAACCAGGAGCTTCTTCCGGGTCTCCCATGTGGGTGCAGGGTCCCAAGACTTTGGGTCCTCCTCACCTATTTTCCCAGGTCACAGGCAGGGAGCTGCATGGGAAGTGGAGCAGCCACGACACGAATTGGTGCCCATATGGGATCCTGGTGTGTGCCAGGCAAGGACTTCAGCCACTAGGCTACTGCGCTGAGCCGGACCCCATTCTTTTTAACTGAGAGCATCCCTGTGTTAGTCATTTCAGCCACCAATCATGCTGTTTTTACCCTTTTTGTGTAAGTGAATAGCTGGCTGTTTTTTGATGTATGGAAATGTATTTGGGATTTAACAGCACCAACAGAATACTCAGGCAGTTATTTGTTAAATTAATGTAAATGCAAATGTAATGCCTTTATAATTTATCACTGAATAAATTGGGCCTTCATCATAGAGTTCTACAAAAAATAAGACATTTTTGTGGCTCTTTCATTAGCCCTCATGGATGAAGACTCAGGATTGTTTTTCGTTGTTTATTTTTATTTACATAAAGTCAGAGGGACAGAGAAATAGAGATCTCTCCCAAATGCTGATTCATGCTTTAAATGCTTGTAACAGCTAGGCTGGCACAAGCTGCAAATGAGACTCAGAAATTCTCTCCAGATCTCCCACATGTGTGGCAAGTGCTCAGATGCTGCCTTGCAGTAGATACACTGTTTGGACTAGAATCAGGCAAGATTAGATCACAGCAACTGTGATAATGAGGTACAGTTGTTTTAAGAAGCAATTTAACCTCTACAGCTTGCCCTGACCGAAAGCTTTTGTGAGTTTTGTTGGTAGTGAAATCACAGGGATAAAAGTATCCTGTGTTACATAGCGAACTCTAAGCCTTAAAATTATTGGTGGGGATTTGCATTGGTGCAGGTATTATGTCACCACTTGGGATGCCTGTGTCCCACATGGAAGTGCATGGATCAAGTACCAGCTCATCTAAGTTAGATGCAGCTTTATTTAAATGCATGCCCTGAGAGGCAGCAGGTATTGGCTCAGGATGTTGGTTCTGTGCCGTGTGGGAGACCTGAGTTGGGTTCAGGCTCCTGGTTTTAGTTAGGCCCAGGACTGTTGTTGCAGACATTGCAGAATGAACCAGCAGATGGAAGATTTGTCCTTCTCCCTCTCTGCCTTTCAAATGTAGATGCATTTAAAACATTTTTTGTATTTGGATTTCAAGGTACTGTGTGTCTTTAACGTAATGAACAAATGCCTTATACATTTTGGAAAGGGAAACCTAAGAATAGTGATTGACCATCTTGAAGCATTTTTAAAAAGTGAGCTTAACCTTTCAAAGTAATATAAATGGATTAAAGAATGAGATAGACCTGTCTAAACTTTCTTTTAGGTGTTCCTCCACGGAAAGCTAGTTTTATTGAAGACCTTGTTTTGATGCTGCCTCAGAACATTTGGGACAATTTATATAGCAGGTTTGTTTCTTATATGTATATATAGTATGGTGAAAATCTGTTAAAATGGTTAAAAGGTGATTGTATTATTTCACACATGTTCTTTGTGCTCTGTTGCTTTTATATCTCTTTTCTGTTGCTTATTCATTCTGAAGTGTGAATAAGAAGACTTTATAGCTGTTGAGGACCTAGCTTAGATAATTTTTATTTTTATGTTCTGATTGTCTGTAAGGTTGCACTGTAATACTTAACTTAAAAAAAAAAAAAGATTACTTGAAAGGCAGAAAGACAAGGAAGGGAAGCTAGAGATGTCTTTCATCCACTGGTTCACTTAAATATTTACACCAGCTGGGGCAGGACCAGGCTGAACCAGGAGTCAGGAGCTCCATCCTGGTCTCCCTTGTACATGCCAGGGACCTGGTACTTTCCAGGCATGTTAGGAAGCTGCATCGACAGTGGAGCATCTTGGTCTCATGGTGCTTCCTTATGTCATCAGGTATCTTAATATGCTCTACAAACACAACACATGCCCTGTATATTCAACTTCAGATACTCTATTTGAAAAATTTTTGTCTTAACTCCAACACTAAAATTTTATAGGACTGTACTCCCGAAACCAAATTTTCTTTTAACTGTAGTTTTAAATTTTATTTTAAAACATTTTGCAGTATAATTTCCCTACTCGGTATGTTTTCCTTAGTTGAATGTTATCTATAAGGAATTCCATGAATGCTTCTCCCTTAGACTTGGAAAAAGCCTTCCATCTGATTAAAACCTCACTGTGACTGTAGGTATAACCTAGATTTCTGTATTATATGCCACTATTTGTAAACTGCTTGTTTTGCTTTATTATATCCTTTGACATTTTGAAGTAAAATTAACTATAAGGGAAAGCTGAAGTACAAATAAGCACATTAGGCAACATACTGATAATGCCGTTGACATTACTTCCAGAATTTTTCTGTGAGAATTTATTCTTAACTGGGAATTTTAGGCATTGAGCAAAAAGAAATGGATTTCGTAGAATATTGTAGTTTTATCCTAATTGTACTTTTTAAATTCTTCATGCTTCAGGTATGGAGGAGGACCAGCTGTCAATCATCTGTACATTTGTCACACTTGCCAAATTGAGGCAGAGAAGATTGAAAAACGAAGAAAAACTGAATTGGAAATTTTTATTCGGGTAAAAAAAGTAATGCTTTTCAAATTGTAAATGATCTAGGATAAAGACCTGACAATTAACAAACTGTATTTTATACATGAAATGAGTGGATTAAAGATTTGTGATAGACTTCAAGTGTTCCTGGTGCATAATAATGAGTAAACGCTTACAGTTCAATACAGCTGTAGTGAATTAATATCTCTTTGTGGGCTTTGTTTTTCTGGCAATAAATTTTGTTTTATAGATTGGTACTAGTGAGAAATCTTAATTAAAAAAGAAAATTACAGGTTTCCTTAAATTAGTATTGTCTACAGTCTTGCATGATATACTCCCATCTGCTTTGAAATTTTAATATTGGTTTGTCTTTTGGGGGACTCCCTGTATTTGCAAATGCATTCAGTTTCAGAGTGTGTTTTGTAAGGCATTCTTTGTGTGTAAACAACATGCTGTCTGCACACAATAGGAAATATAAACATCAGGTTTTACGGACAAACATAGCAGAGTTGTAGTTCCCTCCATGGCAGATCCCTTCAGAGAACTGCCATCAGTAACTAACACAGCTCTTTCTCCTGAAAAGGTCTAACACTAGTCACCTGAGACGCTTTGTAATCCTGCAGAGAATCCATGTGAGAAGGACAGCTCAACTCTGCAGGAGAAAGTTGGGATTGTTTTAGTAAAAGGGGAAAAGGAAATGAACAGTACAAAATAAGATGTCTTGTACATTTCATATTGGGTCTCTCCAGCACATATATATATGCCTAATCTTCTTTGATTCAGGAATTTTGTGTTTTCTGGCCTTTGTCTAAAATAATTTTTACACAGGGGACGATAGAGATACAGGTTTATTAATTTTTCATAGGCCTCATTTGCGTCCTAAGTCTATCAAGGCAAAGTCAGTTGAATTTTAAAACTAATTCATGTCATCACTACCTCAATAATATTTTACGAGTGTATCCTTATAGAAACGATTCTGTTATAACACAGCCTTGCTAACTTTTATTTGAAAGAAGTTTGCCTGTTGGTTCAAGTAGCCACAGCAGCCAGGACTAGGCTGGGTCAGGCCAAGGACAGAGGCTTAGAACTCAGTCTAGGACTGCATTGTCGCTGGCAGGGTCGTGGCCTCCTGTGTCTCAGTGTGTGCCTTGTAGGAAGCTGGAATTGGAAGCAGAGTCAGATTTTGAACACAGGCACAAGTGATGCCTTTATCACTGTGTGAAATACCCACCTTTTTCCCTGCCAGATTGATCAGAATGGTCTGCACTTCAGACTTTATCTTTAGTATCATCTTACCCTTTTTAGAAACAAATTATCTAGTTGCAAACTGTCTTATCTTTGGGAGTTTTGTCTTATAACCTTTTTTGTAAAGCATAGATGATTTCATCATTTTCTGAAGTTTCACCATAAATTTGATGCTCTTCAATTTTAGAATTCATGCTGCTCTAGTAGTAATAGGGTTCTTTCCAAGTTGAATTTAGTGTTAGTGCTTTTGGACTAGTTATGTGTTATTAAGCTAATGTGAGTATTTTAGTGCCAAAAGGGCAGGGAAAATGCTAGATGAGATTACAACTTTTTTTTTTTGCCAGAAAATAGAGAATTTTTGGAAGAATCATGAGGGCGAACAAAAACAAAATCAAAAAACAAACAAAAAACTAAATCTAAAAAAGAGAAATTCACTCACGGGGACTCCCACTGGTCAAATTTGTGAGAATTTCAACTTTTTAATATGATAACCTAATTCATTAAACAGAGTAAGAGATATGTCTATACTGATGTTAAATAGTTGAATTAATGCAATTGTTGAGCAGTGGATTTTTATATCATTTCAACTTTTTCCCCATGAAATACTTGTGAGTTTTAAAAGGGAAGGAGTAACTTTGATTGGAGAATCCTGGCATGGCCTCATTGATGTTATTAAGTTGAACATCATTTCGACACTACACTAATCAAAATCATATTCTAGGGTAGGATACTATGAGAAGAACAAGGCCTTGCTTTTTTGTTATGTAGATAGATAACATGAATCTCAAATGGGGGAAGTGAGACAAACTCAATTCAAGGGACATTTTATCAAACAGCTAGGTATTTCAATAAAAGGGACATTTGGTTGACAGTTTATTCTGAAATTGTTTAGGAAAGGAAATGTTTTATAAGTTTGAGATCGTTAAAAAGTTTTACCTGCATAAAGCCCTTAAAATGCTCTGTCTGTGATTCTTCAGACAGTACTTAGAAACATGCTGATACCCTGAGAGGTTGTTTGGAGAATTTCTAGAAGACCCGAGATGCTGTAGTTAAATATATTCACTGCCTGTGATGCTGAGTGAGATCAGATTTTTAGGGAAGTGTTTGGAAGTGGTGGCAGAAACCTATTTGTGTCATTTATGGATACCCAAGCCTGCCTACAGCTGCTGCTAAAGAAAAATATGGTTCTTTCTCTTGTGTGTTCACTATATGTCACATATATTTGGCTGTACATATGGAGCATTATCTAGAAGTAGAATTCTACGTTCCTGGAAAAACATAGGTTGTTTTACATATAGAAGCTCGTTAGTGGAAACTATAATGCTGTCTGCTCTTTGTCAAGGCAGTATCCATGCACTCTTGTATCTGGAGTGTAACAACAACAGTGTCAGCCTTATATCTAACATGATAGGTAACATGTCATCTTTTTACTTATTAACTAATGAGTCCGGACATTTGTATTTACCCTTTGTTTAGATTTGGGAGGGCCAATGTTGTATCCATTTCTACATGATGATCTTCCAGTTCTTGGTTCAGTGCAATGAACAAATCTCCCTTTTGCACACTGTAATGTTGATTAATATTAAGTTTATGAAGGTAGTAGAGTCAACCACCAAGTCTGTAAAGAAAATGTAATGTAGCCATTTAATGAAATACTCAGTAATAAGAAACTCAGTGACTACTCATGCAACAACTTGGATCAGTCTCAGAAATCTTACACCAAATGAACAAGCATAAAGAAGAATATAACGTCTAATTTAACTCATTTGTGAAAATGGAAAGACCATAGAGACACAATAAATTAATGATTTCATGTGTGAGCAGTGGACTGAATGCAAATAGCAGGAAATTTTTTTACATGTTGGAAACAGTCTAAACTGAAGTAATAACAAATTATTTCAGTTTCACAATAGCAGTTGGGTGGATTATTGCACTTTAATGAAGAATTTCTTTAAATACAAATCTATGATTATTTTGTAACTCCAGAGTTGTGTTTTTTTTAAATTCCAATTTACCCTACTCTTCCATTTTAGCAAAATGAACATGTTTGTATAAAATTAGGTATAAAAATAGATAGCCCATGGTAGACTGCAAACTGAGCTTCTTTAAAATTAGAGAAGCAAACCAAAGGCTTTAGGAAAGGAACACATGGGCCCAAGGTTTGAAAGTAGCTTCACCCCTCGTCTACTCTCCTTAAGTCACTCCAGGCAGCAAGCATACAGGTGTCTGCCTGGCAGAGCAGAGAATATGTACGGCAGGTGTATGACTGCTCCTCAAGAAAATGCGGAGGATATTATTGCTGAAAACAAACTTCGATAGGTAGATTGATATGATGTCAGAGCAAATACTGCTGGAGGGCAAATTGATGTGCAGAAAGCTGAGGCAGAAGAATTTTCCGTAAGACGAGTCACCAAAAGATAAACATGAAAAGCTGGAAAGTTTTGACATTTTGCTTAGATCCAGAGCCCGGTATTTTTCAAATACTGTGAAGAATTACTTTCAGAGCACTAATATAACTAGAGAAAAAACACATGTCTGATATTTTAGGTGAATAAGCCTAATGAAAATTTTTAAATGCATCTATCTAGAATTATGAAGAAACTTTTTAATGCCAAAGACACATTAAGTCTCAGGAGTGTTTCTGCCTGGTAAATATAGGATTAAGTGGATTCACAATTTGTCATATGAAACAATCAGTCTAGTATTACATTTCAGAAAGCTTAGTTCTTTTATATTACAGAAAATCCTCTCATTTTAAATTATGCCTTGACTTTGTTGTATTGAGAGAGTCATACAGTTTTCATTCACTTTCATTGTTCTATTCAAGCAACTGCCTTATGTCCCACAAGGAAGCTTGCTCTTATGGACTTTGTTTATTAAATAAGTTATCTATTTAGAGGTGCTGAATAATATAAAAAGAGAAATGTTGAACAGGATATTGTGCTGAAAAGAGGAATCTGGTTATGATTTTTAGCAGGATGGTCAAGATATAGGTATCATCATTGAGGCCAGCGTTTTAGCACAGCGAGATAAAGCAGTGCTTTGCATCCCACATGAGCACAGTCTGGTTCAGCTGCTGCCACTCCACCTGCACACTAGCTCCTTGCTACTGTCCATGGCTACCCATATGGGACACCCAGGTAGAGTTCTAACTTTGCCCTGCTTGTTCCAGCCCAGCTATCGATACCATTTTGGGAGTGAGTTAGCATTGGTAAGATAGCCCTCCCTCCCTCTTCCTTCATATATACATATGTGTGTTCACTGTCCCGTACAGTGATGGAATTGGTGGACTACTTACTGATGGTCAATAGCCAGTATAGACTGAGGGTCAAATAGGATGAGGGAGGAGACTGAGGAGTTTACACAGTTCCCATAAGCCTGTCTATGGAACCCATCAGTTGTTTCCACACCCTGAGTGCCATTATCTCTGTTTTGTGTATCCATCAATTGTCCTCATAGATATCCAATCAGTTGTCCTAGGCTAGGAAGTGATACTTAAGCAAAGACTTGGATGATGAGAAATAGTCATCAGTTATTTGCGGGAAGGGATAGCTTTGAGAGACAGAAATTTTATCTGATTTTTTTATCTGAAAGATGAGAAAAATATGAAAAGATAAATTAGATCCTGTTGTCACATGATAAGGAGGACTTTGAGGAGTTTACACAGTTCCCATAAGCCTGTCTATGGAACCCATCAATTGTTTCCACACCCTTGAGTCCAAGTATCAGTTGTCCTTCACAACCCCTTCTGGTTTTTGTTTTGTTTTGTAAACTGACCCAGAGGGAATGTGCTCCTAGAAGGGCAACTTCTTCAGCGACCTAAGATCCTAACTGCCTATTATCCCATCTGACTCTACATTTCCTTCTCTAGAAGGATGGACTGTAGCTGCTGTTAGGGACAGGTGGTGATGACTGCTGTCTGCTTCATGCTGAGAAGGAGTGTAGAGGGGCAGCAACAGCAGGGTATTTTTCAGGGGGTGTAGATCTGTGGGTTCCTAATAGAACATGATGGTGCTTCAAGGCTTCTCTTTGTTGAAGTAAATTGTTGTAATCCATCAGGGTCTCAGGAAGACTTTCAGCTGTTTTGAACCAAAAGGAGTGTTCAGGTTCTTCTGTTCTTTGAAGAGGTTCTGCTGGGTATTCCATTTTCTTCAAGGGCAGGGTAGTATTTGAGGGAGTTCTTGCACTTCTGAGGCTGAATGAGCCATAAGGGAAATCTGTAGTTTTTCAGAGGATCCATCAGGAAATTCTAAAGAAAAGAGCATAACATTTGCCACGGGTTATTAGTGTCGCAAAATACCATTTATTAAGATGTTTCACACAGAATTTTTAAAGTCATTGGTAGAGAATTTAGAGATAGAAAAATGTTTGTTAGCCAGGAGTATTAATGTCTGCTTGAGACAAATTTTAAAAATTACATGTTAAAAATGTTTAGAGATAAAGTGACTCATGGGGCCATTCCTCTTTTTATTTTTTAACAATTGACTTTTTAGGGTGTGGTGTACACATTCAATAAGTCTGAGCCAATGGGTTACTTACTTTCAGGAACAACGGGTCAAGTGAAAACTATCAAATAACAGTTTAGAAAACATTCTATTTTCTAAACCTTAAACAACTAATAAGAGATCACAAAGATTACCTTAATGTAAGAACTTGCAGGTAAGAATTAGCACATTGGTTAAGAATGGCTGCTAGGAAAAAGTTATACATGAGTAACATCCATTTGCCACAGCTGATTAGAATTTTGTCCTCCAGGATTTATAGCTGCTGGGTAAGGATGTGGCACTGAGAAAGTAGCAGTTTTTAAATCTGTTATTCTTCTGAAGACACAAACTGAATAGGATATTGGTGTTTTGCAAACCTCTGATTGTTTTGGGCCTGAAGCTGGAACTGCCAGGAGTTTCCTCACCACCAATTAGTTGTTAACCTAATGGTCCTAAGGATTGCGTTTTTTTTTTTTTCCCTTAGCCATATCACTCCTCCACATTTTCCATTGTAGATATTGAGAAGGAGGCAGCCCTATTTTTGCTATTACTTCAAAAGCATAGGGAATCCAATTTGCTCCCTGGCTCCCGCCATTTAAATAATCACATACACATGAAGAATTGGGTCCATAGGATGTACAAGCTTTCTTAAAAGCTGTGATAGTGTTACCATCCAGATTCTCATATGCAGGTGGGTTAGTGTAATTGGGAAAAGTGATTGTAATTCATGAAATCTCTGAGGAATATCAAACACTTGGACCAGGCTTAAGGGTGACACGGCATGGGCTCATACTGTTCTTTTATCCCATCCTCATTTTCCTCACTAGACAATTCAGAGAAATCCTGCAATTTTGCTGTTTTAACATGGGAAGCTTTAGTTTCTTTTCTTGCCTTGTTAGAGTGGCATCTTCCATTAGGGGAGTCTGTCCTGAGTGTTCTTTTTGTAAGTTCCTCATCTGTAGTATAAGACCTTTCTCTTCGAGTTGTATTATGGTGGCATCTCCTGTTAGGAGGGTCTCTCATGGATTCCCCTTTTTCCTCTTCCTCACTGGTAGTATAAGGCATTTCTATTTTAGCCATATTATGGGGGTTTCTCCTCTTACGGGAGTTTCTCACACATTCTTCTTTTCCATCCTTTTTATCAGTACTATTAGATATTTCTTTTTTAGGCACATTACGGCAGTCTCTCCCATCAGGGGGACCTCTCGTGGCTTCCCTTTCTCTTTCTGCCTCATTAGCACTATGAGGCATTTGCTTTTTAGCCACATTTCAGCAGTGTCTCCTCTTAGAGGAGTCTTTTTTAGGTTTCCTTTCTAAAATTATAATAATGGCTTTAAAGCCCATGTAATCCAAAAACTAATACGAATATTTTCTATCCTTTGGGCCTTTTTACCATTTTCTGGGCAAGGTCTTAAGCTTCTGTTGTTGCTTCATCCGGGGATCAAGGGTTATGTTTACAAATAACCTTTAAACCTTTAGAACGCAATTGCTGCCTAGTTATCTTTGTTCCACTTTTCACTAAAAAGTTCTGCACAAGGAACATATAACTGCGCTCTACACTGATTCTGTCCCACTATTCCCACTTAACCTCTTTCTGTGGGAGTTTCTGTCATACTTACTATCTGCTTTCAAGTCCATGTTCATGGGCAGGCACGACTTGTTTGATATCCATACTTGTATCTGCTTCAGGTCCTTGTTTGGGTGCCACTTGTTCACTGTCCATGCAGCAATGAACTTGGTGCACAGAACTGGTACTCACATGCATGGACTACTGAATGATAGTCAGCAGCCAAAGTTTAGTACTGACATCAGGCTTTTATAGGCTGAGGGTCAAATAGGATGAGGGAGGAGACTTTGAGGAGTTTACACAGTTCCCATAAGCCTGTCTATGGAACCCATCAGTTGTTTCCACACCCTGAGTGCCATTATCTCTGTTTTGTGTATCCATCAATTGTCCTCATAGATATCCAATCAGTTGTCCTAGGTTAGAAAGTGATACTTAAGCAAAGACTTGGATGATGAGAAATAGTCATCAATTATTTGTGGAAGGGATAACTTTAAGAGACAGAAATTTTATCTGATTTTTTTATCTGAAAGATGAGAAAAATATGAAAAGATAAATTAGATCCTGTTGTCACATGATAAGGAGGGTACTACAGGACTGTTTTAAGTATCTTTAGAGATGGCAACAGGAATTAAATTTGATTAGGTGTACCCATATGAAATGGAAGTCTAAATAGACTGCTAAATTTGGATAAATTCCAGCTGCTTTCACTTCCTTGAGGCTGTATTGCCTGTAGCTATCATTTGGAGTTTTTAGTTGTTAGGGATAGAAGCCAGCATGGATAACTTGAAAGAAGCTTATTGAAAAATGAAGATTGAATAACCGGAATTCTAGGTGTTTGAGAACCAAGTTAGCCCTGTATCTAGCTAATAAGAATTGATACAGGGAATAGAAGGGAATGGAGGGTGAATGGTTGACAAGTGGTGGAGACACCATTTTTTGACATCCACATAACATAGTGCCTGGGTTTGAACCCTGGCTCAAATGCCAGTCTAGTTTCCTGCTAATGCATGCCCTAGGAGGCATCTTGTAATGGCCGAGGTACTTGGACCATCATCCATTTGGGAGATCCAGATTACATTCTGAGCTCCTGACTTTGTCCTTGCCTGTCTGTTGAGGTTATCCGGGGAGTAAACCAACAGATGGAACATCTCTGTGTCCTTTCAAATGTGTGAAAAAACACATACATTTTATCTTAAAAAAAGGATTTGTATCGATAGGATTCCATACTATGAAGAATCAGTACTACTTTGAACGTTTTCCATTCTAATAGATTTGTGCCTGGTTTGTTTTGTGCTCTAACCCTAAGAGTAGAAGTGGGAAAGTAACATCTTTGGGGACTATTTCTTTGGGTTTTAGAATTTGCCTAAATATATGTAAAGTAAAAATTTCATGGAATAATACATTTCATGAAAAACTATATTTCAAATTTATTTTGCCCCCGAATAAGCATTTTTTTATAAAGTTATTTGAGAGTGTGTTTCCATCTACTGGTCTACTCCCCAAAGGCCTGCAGCAGTTGGGACTCGGCCAAGCTCAATGCTGGAGTTGAGAACAAAATCCAGATATCCCAAAAGGTGATAGGGACCCATGTATTTGACCCATCTTTGATGTCTCCCAGAATGTGCATTAGTAGGAAGTTCAGTCAGGAGCTAGAACTGGCAACTCAACCCAGACACTCTGATACGTGATTCAGGCATTTTAACTGTTTGTGCAAAAACCAGCCCTCCCTGTGCTACCCGTCAAATTCACATTTTAATTTCACATTTAATTTTTCCTAATTTTTGAAGACCATTCGTATATGTGTTTTCTGTGGAATGACATTGTATTAGTGGTAGCAAATTGTCTATCTAGTTTTTTTATTTTTAATTTTCTTTTAAGACAGGTCGTGATCTCCCATCTGATGGTTCCCACCGCAAATGGCTACAATGACTGGGACTGTGCCAGGCCAGAATAACAATTGAGGGAGAGACAGACAAAGGGATCTTTTGTCTGCTGGTCACTCCCCAAATGGCTAAAATTGCCAGAGCTGGACATCTAAAGTCAGAAGTCTGGAATTTCGTCCAGATTTCTCACACAGGTTGCAGGGGCCCAAGTACATGGATCATCCTTCTCTGCTTGTTGAGGCCTGGTCTTTACCAAGTGCTCCAATATGGGATGCCAGCATCGTAGATAGCGGTGTGACCCGCTGTGCAACGGAAGCTAGCCCCACCAATTATCTTTTAATAAATACATGGAGTATGTAATATTATGAAGATGTGGCTTTGACTATCTTCACTTATCCAGTCTTTCTTGGTCCTTTTATGTGCACTTGTTAAACTTTGAAATAAAATGTTGAAGTACTTGTGAATGAATAGATGCTACTATATTGCCAAATACTAAGATAACTTTATATCTTTGTATATCTTACTGTGGTAGCACATTGCATATGTAAGAGAAATTGTCCTATATTACATGCTGATGCAGTGTTCTGCTAGAAAGCAAGTTTGAGATGTTATGTAACTGTGTTTTCCTCTGTAGCTTAACAGAGCATTTCAAGAAGAAGACTCTCCTACTACTTTCTATTGCATCAGTATGCAGTGGTTTCGAGAGTGGGAAAGTTTTGTGAAGGGTAAAGATGGAGGTAAGTGGCTAACTAAAAAGTTAACTAAAGTTTGGGGTTACTCATTTGATTTTTTTTAATATCTCTATGCACTTGGGGTTCTGCCAGTGATCAAAAGAAGAAAAAAATTAAGATGTGTCTCATTATTAAAAAGGTTGTAGTGTAGTATGCATTTTGAAACCTTTGTATTTAAGGAAAAAAGTAAACCTCTGGTATATAAAGAAAAAAAAAAAAAAGAAAACCCACACAGATATTAACTGGTTTCCTATTTTTCTGTAAGTAGTACAATAATAACTTTGATTATTATACTTTTTAATAATGACCTTGTACTATACTTTTATATAAAAGGGAGAAACAAATACTTTATTTTTTGCTTAACAAATGATGTATTTTCAGATTGCCTTTTATGGTTTATTTTTATTGTTTTAAGAAGTGACAATTTAATGCAAATCAAAATTTCATTTTAGAATGCAGCAGCATTGTTATTAAAAGTTGGCATTAAAAGTACATTTGGACTGTAATCCCAAAATAAGTGGTTCAGAAGTCATTTCTCTTGGAAATTAGATGGTAATGAGAGAGTGTCTTTTACCTTCTTTCCTGGTCTTGTTTTTGGATAACCAAAAGAAGAAGAAGAACGTAATAGGAAGAAAACCTTCCCAAAGAAGAATCTCATGGGAAGACATTAAGAATGGATTGTAATGATCTGGCTAAAAAAATAATCCATGTGATTGTGCAGTTTCATTTCTCAATTATTTCAGGGCAGTCAAGTATGCAATTCTTTACTATATGTCTCTGAAAATTATGCATTTTGATAATTCTTTTTCCTTTGACATAGATCCTCCAGGTCCTATTGACAACACTAAAATTGCAGTCACTAAATGTGGTAATGTGATGCTCAGACAAGGTATGTTTGACCATTATTTAAACTTTTACTTACTATTGACTTGTCGCTATTAAGAATATATGAGATGCCTTCAACAAGTTCATCGGAAGTTTTTGTTCTGCGTGGAATTCAACATTTTTGCGCTCTCCCAAGTAAACTATTTTTCTTTTGTTTTTTTTAATGATTTATTTATTTTTATTGGAAAGTCAGATATATAGAGAGAAGAGACAGAGAGGAGGATCTTTCCGTCCGATGATTCACTCCCAGAATGACCACAGCAGCTGGTCTGCGCCGATCCGAAGCCAGGAGCTCGGAGCCTCTTCTGGGTTTCCCACATGGGTGCAGGGTCCTAAGGCTTTGGGCCGTCCTCGACTGCTTTCCCAGACCACGAGCAGGGAGCTGGATGGGAAGTGGGGCCCCTAGGATTAGAACCGGCGCCCATATCAGATCCCGGTGTGTTCAAGGCGAGGACTTTAGCTGCTAGGCCACTGTGCTAGGCCACTGTGCTGGGCCCCCAAGTAAACTTTTAATTGCATTTTTCCATAAACTTTTTTTTGAAAGACAGATAGAACTGATTCACTCCCACTCCCATCACCTTTTTTCCCCCATGATCTTTTTGAAGTACGCTTGTAGAATTAGTAGCTATTTGTGTTAGTACAGTTTCGATTGCTATATCAAAACACTCGAGGCTGAATATTTTATAAAGAGAAAAGATTAATGTAGCTTTCAGTTTTGTAGGCTGAATATTTCTGGGTTGCCTGAGTTGCCGTCGCCCCCCTTCAGTGCAGCATCTGATGGGGGCCTCTGGGTGGATGGCAGCACAGTGGTGGGAGAGCTATCACCTGGTGAGACTGAGAGCAGGGAGGGGTAAGATGATCTGTAACAACAACCCCTACTGTCCCAGGAAATAAATGGATAATCCTTTCCGAGACCTGCAACCTGATGATCTGATTATCTTGCATCACTGCCTCCCAACATCTCTCTACATAGAAGAGCAAGTCTTCAGCCCAAAAAGCTGTAGAGGACACCACATCCTAACCATAGCACAGCACCATTTGTTGGCTTTGTTTATTTATTTTAGCTCCACGATGTCATTCTTATGTGGTCTAGGGCAAACAGTACGAAGCAACTGCTGTTTGGTTTAATCTGAGGAAAGCTCTTCAGGCTGTTGAAAGGAGCCAGAAAACAGAAAAAAGCTTTTTTTTTTTTTTTCCCACTTTAAGACAGACCATATGTTGCTGCTTTGAACAGTGTAGGCTGTTGGTCATCTGATGTTCCAAGTTTTCATTTGTCTAGAGGGAATTCATGCTGGGTGCTGCATTCTGAAACTTTCTGTAGTATGAGTACATAGGTATGAAAACATGATTTTTTTTTATATATGCATAATTTTAGGAGCAGACTCTGGTCAGATTTCTGAAGAAACATGGAATTTTCTGCAGTCTATATACGGTGGAGGGCCTGAAGTCATCCTGCGACCTCCAGTCGTTCATGTTGATCCCGATGCACTACAAACAGAAGAAAAAATTGAAGTAGAAACGCGATCTTTGTAATTTTGAAAATACAGAGAGTTCTAAGGAGAACTAATTTTCATTTCCTCTGACTCACACACATGCAAAAACATTCCTAAAGCATGTTTTTTTCCCCTTTTTTTCCTCTTTTATCTCATTTACTTCTTACTGGGCATTATGAAAAGATATGCTAGAGAATATGTAATATACTACAGGTTGGTATATTTAAAGCTAAATAATGTCTTTCATTATAATATTTTTGCAAGAGACGGGACAGTTGTGATTAATTGGTAGATTAGTTGATTATGTTTGTTCTTTATACTACATGTAGATGCATAGCATCCTTTGTAGTGTTGTAAATACTTTTGCTTTAAAAATTTTTCATTATTCAGAACCACCATAACTGACCAATCTTTTTAGTTATTTAGAAACCTAATTTAATTGTATAGTTTTGACAAGGCTTTGTATTAGAAATAGCCTATTTTACATTGAGAGTAATAGACAGTTCTTGTTGGTTTCCTAAAGCTCAGGAAATGTTAGGGTGTCACTTCTTTTGCACTGCAGCATATAAACTAGCATATTAAAATTTATTGTCTTTTGAATGTACTAAGGATGTATTTAGTTTGAATAGAATTTGTCAGCAGATTTCATTAATTTATTGCTGCTTATGATGTAAAATGTTAACCTTAATCCCCAATCCTGGATAGTACTTATTCATGTTAGTAGCTAAAAAACTTAGTTTTAGGGCACCTTCTATTTTGAGAGCATGAAATGTGGAATGTGTCATTGAGATTGTTACAAAGCTCAAGCCACTTGCAAAGTGATTTTTTAATGCATAAATTCTTTTTGGATAATAATATGCACTGCTATTTGCTTGGTTATGTAATGTCAGAAGTTTCACTATATTCCCAAGTACAAAAACATGTTAGTTAAATTGAGGATGTTGAGAAGCATTCATGATAGCTTTGTTTTGGTCTGGAGCAGATGCCACCAGCTAAAAGCAACATTGTCAAATTTAGTTCAATAAAATGATTTTAAAATGTGTAACTTGAATGAATTTATTTGCTAGACACTAAAAGTAAAAGATGTAAGACATTAATACTGTTGTGTGATACTGTGATATCTAATTTGGTGTTGTCCTTGATTTTTCACTTGTGTTTCTCTAAGGCAGGGCATAGAAACTCAGATCAGACCCCCTCATTTCACAGGAATCCTGCCCTATGTTCTGGAGAGAGGAATGCTGTGCATGAATCTCGAAGAATTCTCAAGCAGTCTAACATTGTCTGATATCTCCACCCAGTCTGTTATGATTAGGTATGCGACGAGGTCTTCCTGCAAACTCAGACAAACAGGGTTTGGAGAACTTTCACTACTAAATAGAAGTTTTGGAGGGAAATGTGCCCAGAGATTATGAGTGTGCTAACAAATTAATAAATGTGCCCCTGAGTCCCATAAGTCATTCAAGCAAATAACTGAATCCAAGAAGGAGGTGGTGAGAATTGTGATTTATAGCACTCTGGTCAGAAGCATGGGTAGAGAGTCACTAAAGGCTTGGGACCGGCATCTAAAGGGAGACGTGGACAGGCCTGGGTGTCAGATGCTCTCCAGTGCTGTTGCTGTTGAGAAGCCCCCAGCTTTTAGCTTTTGAGGTCCCAGAAGTGACCTGTGTGGTGAATGCATAGTAGGTGTTGTCCTGTATGTTTTCAGAAATTTGTGTCCTTCTTTCATTTTTCTCCCTTTGGCAAGCATATAAGGGCTTATTTTATTTGGGTGATCAATCTGCTGTAATTACCAAGACCATTTTGTACAGAGAAGAGAGTGGGAATATTTTTCTTTGTTCTTTTCCTGCTTGAAGAGAATCTTGATCTTGGTCTAAAGGTATTCTTCATTGCCACTCATGTGCTTCCTTGGTTTAGATCTGTGGGCTTTAGCCTGGTCAACCAGAAGTTTTATTTATATAATTTTTTTGTAAGCTTCACCTTGTGGATGAGCTTGCACTTGTGTTTGAAGGGTAACCTTCCGATATAGACCATGTATAATACATGTGCTAATTAATCTTAGCTTTCTGGTGTCTTTTTAGCAGCCAGCACAAAATTAGCATCATCATTATCCAAGCTAGCTTTCTGGCATTGGAGCATTGCTCACCTATGCACATATGGCTGTTCTTCAGTGGGTTTGGGAAAGACAGTTACAGGCTTACATGTTGTTGGTTCATGTTGATGTGCTAATGAGAGTTGGCACTGGCAGTTTCCTTGGTCTCATTGGGGTTCAACTAGACCTTTTTTCCATAGCAGAAGACAACGGGAATCCTGAGCATGCACATGGCTGTGGCTGAGACGGTAAATGAAAGCTCTGTGGTTTTTTTGTGTGTGTGTGTGTGCTAGTTTAGTTAGCAGTATTTAAGTAAGTTGTAAAGTTTAATTATTTAATGAAATTATGAGTTTATTGGTTGCTTAAGATGTGTTTTAATTTTTCAGAAAAAGTTTTTTTTTTTTGGTCCGCTTCCATGTTACGGTTCTATGAGGGGGTATGGTGGTACGTCTGGTTTATCCTTTCCCTGCGGCACTGGCATCCCATGTGGGTCCTGGTCCATGTCCAGGCTGCTCCAGTTCTGATACAGCTCTCTGCTAATGGCCTGGGAAAGTAAGTGGAGGATAACCCAAGTCGTTGTTCTCTGCACTCATGTGGGAGACCAGGAAGATGCCTTTGGCTCTCAGCCATGGATCAGCTCAGCTGTGGCCATAGCAGCCACTTGGGGAGTGAACCAATAGTTCAAAGATCTGTGTTTCTCTCTGTCTCTAATTGTGACTTCCAAGTAAAATAAAATAAATCTAAAAAAAAAAATTATACCAAAATTGTTTTTAAAAATTGCATGATTTTTCTAAATTCATTGATAAAAACAGCTCCCATCTGCTGGTGGACTCCCTGATTGTCCTTGATTGCTGAGTGTGACTTAACCCATGTGGATAGTAGGAGCCCGATTAATGACTTGAGGCTTCATCCCTATCTCCTAGGATCTGAACTAGTTGGTGGGAGGAGCATTTGTGTCCCTGGCATCTCTGTCATAGTGCTGGTCCAAATCATGGCTACTCTGCTTTCTATTCTAACGTGCCTAGGAAGGCAGCAGAAGATGGCGCAAGTCTGTAGGTCCCTGTCAGCTATGAAGGAGACCTGGATGGAGCTCCTGGCTTTATTCTGGTCTGTATGTGGCAGTTGAGGCCATATGAGGGAGTGAACCAGAAAATCAATGATGGCTAGTGATATTCCTGAGCTTTACCTAGGTCTCATGTGGGTGACTGGAGCCCAGGTACCTGGGTCCTCGTCCACTGCTTTCCCAGGCCAGTAGCAGAGAGCTGGATTGGAAGTAAAGTAGTTGGAACCTTAACCAGACCCCGTGTAACATCCCAGTGCTTCAGGTGGTTGCTTAACTCACTGCTCTGCCCAGGATTATCTTTTTTTTTTTAAGTGAATCTTGCATATTTCACTAGCCTTTTCTACTACTTCTTCTTCTTTTTTTTTAAGATACTCTTTATTTGGGAGGCAGAATAGGAGAGAGACTACAGAGGGAGAGACGGAACTTCCATCTACTGGCTTACTCCCCAAAATGGAAGCAATGGCTGGGGTTGTCCCAGGGCAAAGGCAGTAGCCAGGAGCTTCATCCAGATCTCCCAGGTGGTTGCAGAGGCCCCATGCACTTGGGTCATCTTCCTGCTGCTTTCCCAGGCACTTAAGCTGGGATATGAGCTTAGCCAGTTACGCTGCAACACTGACCCCTTACTAGCTTTAATGTTTATCTTGCAGAGTGTAATCCCATATTTCTTCTCTTTGCAGGATACATGCTCTAGTGCATTGTCTGTATCTAAAACCCAGCTGTTTGAAAACCTGTATAAATAATTAACACTGTATGCTCCAGAGCTAGTGCATGTTACTCTTTCATACAATAATGTGATTTAGCAGCCATAGAACATGAGTATGAATACTTTATGAGTGTGAATTTTAGCTCATCAGGTCATCAGCTCATCAGGTCTTGGCTGCTCTCAGCAGAGCTCTCATGCACTGTTGTCAGTTGTGTGTGAGCAAGGCAGTTCTCGCCTTTCCTGGGATCATTTATATGTCTCGGGTTTTGGTTGATCTGGGATGACTTCCTCTAGAATCACTAGAGCAAACTGGCTCTTCCTTTTGTCCTTTAGCAGGCTAACTCAGGCATGTTCTCTTGGTAATGGCAGAAAAACAAAATGATGGTACTTCAGTGTCCAAGATGCCTGAATGTATAAGCTGACACAAGGACAAAATCAATAACAGTTTTCGGTTCATGGAAAATGCATGTTACTTTATTTATTTGCACTGAAATGTGTCTTTTAATTTGGTTTCCTCATGACCGCCCTCCCCCAACCTCCCACCCCTTGAAGACATAAAGGGATAGATAGGAGAGCTTCCATCCTGGTTCACTCTCTAATTGCATGCTGTGGCTAGGGGACCAAAGCTGTTAGCCAAGAACTCAATCTGTGTCTGTTATGTGGATGGTAGAAACCCAGTGGCTTGATCCACTGATGTTACTTTCCAATGTCTGCATTAGCAAGAACCTGAAATCAAGAGCAAAAAGCTTGGGGTTGGGGATTGGATATGCACTCTATTCTGAGAAGTGGATATGCTAAACAACTTCCCGATCACTCGGCCAAATGCTGGCTCCTTCATGAGCTTTTTGAACTTCCCTGATAGCATCAAAATGCTCCTGAATAATAAAGTGATTAAACACATGACGCCAGAATCTCTTGGAATTTTCTGAAGAACATTTAATGACAGGGAGAATGTTCATGATCTAATGAAAGAAATTAGGATATATGATTTTGTATCATTTTGACCTATACCCATAGAAAAAAATGACAGTTTCTGATAATATTAAGTAGTCATGTTCTATCCCACATAGGGACTTTGTATTAACTGGTTTTTATGTGGAATGTTTTTCCCACTTGAGTCTGACAAGCTTCTAACTGCAATCCCACCAGGTCTCACCCAGTCTAGCTGTTATTTCCTTGCAAGTTCTTTAGAACAGGTATTTGTGGACACTGGGCCCACCTCTCAGAATGACCTTTACTTTTCATTCTAGGACTTGTCATTTTGAATTTGCACAGTATGTATTTATGTAAGTCTTGAATGGCAGTGTTCCACCATAATTTAGCCTGTGTTTACTCTGTTCATTGCTTTACCCCAATACCTTGTTTAGCATCTTGGCACACTTACACAGTGAAGGAATAAATCACATCATCGACTCTCAAGATGTGTTCTGAGGTCGTTCTCTACACGTCATGGTAAGGGACTGAGGGAGATGCCATCTGTTGTGCACTCCCACGTTGGTTGTTACTTGGATTAGGTATTAGGTTCAGGCATGCCTGTAGAAAGAATGCCATTGCTTCAGAAAATGTCCAGAATTTCAGATGTGCAGATCTTTGTCTTCCTCGCCTTCAATAGTCTTGACGCTACGTGAAGATAGCCAAGGCTATAACACTGCATTCCCAGCAAGGTTGTGGCTGGTGACCTTTGCCAGGAGCAGTGAAGCTGCTCTTAGATAACTCAGGAATTCAGGGGCTGGTTTCCCTTCTCATTATGCTAGTGTCCACCCCCAGGACTAGTTTCTTCCCTTGACTACGCTCCTCACTTGCTGTTAGGGTTTCCTCTGAAGACCTGTCATTCAGCCACTGGGGACTAATAGTACTCTTTCATTTCCACATTCATGCAGTTTTCTTCTGCTATAGTGGCCTTTTTTTCCTTCTCTGATAAGCCAAGTTATGCTGTAACTCAAATGGTAACCCCTGTAATAAAGTCTTCCCCAAGTCCTCATCTATTCTGTCACCCCCTTTAAAAAAATTTTATCTTTATTTGAAAGGCAGAGTTAGAGGAAGATAAAGAGATCTTCCATTCACTGGTTCATTCTCCAAATAGCTGCAATGGCTTAAACGAGGCTGGTTTGATAGTAGGAGCTAGGAGATTGTTCTGGGCATCCCATATGGGTGCAGGGGCCCAGCCACTGGGAAATCCTCTG